ACCCTCGGAGGAACCAAGCGTGGGAGAGTGGCCAGCCCTGCGTGCTCGGCCCACCTGCGCTTGCGGGGAGGAAGCAAAGTGACGTGCCCCCTCCCCTGCCCCACGGCCAAGGGAAAGAGAGAGCCCCACAAGGGGCAGCGCGCAAGGCTACTCATACCAAAGCCCGAAGGCTGAGGGGTAATGAAGGCACTAAATAAAGGCCGCCACAATCCAGACGAGCCGCCAAGCTGGCACTGCTCTAACTAGTGGCGAGAGGCCTCTTAGGCCAAGCAAATATCTCTGAGCCCCGACTTACAAGCTCGGATTTGGCAGGAGGCCGGGAAAGACGGATGGGAGGAGCAGGGCGAAGCCAATTTCGCCTGGTCATCAGCCTGGCTATCTCTGCTCCGTGTGGACCTGGCTCGCAGCACGGGGGGCTTCCGTCACCCCTCGCTCATCAATCACTCTTCTGCGCCACCCCGCTCTCATTTCGGGGCTAATGGTTCCTGCTGGAGACCCGAGGGCGAGGCTGGCAGGGCATCCGCCGGCCTGCGCGCAAGATGGCAGCTGTCTCGCGTCCTCCCTCGGGAGGGCAGGCTCCAGCACCATCCAGGGCAACGCGAGGCGGCCGAGAGACTTCCATGCGGCTGGCAGGGAGCTGGTCTTAAAAACAAGCCCAGTGAAGATCAGCAAAGGGGGTTCTCTCCCGCTTCCCACTAGAGCAGAACAAGCATCGAAGCCAGACGCAAGAGACTACCTAGTCTTGCCTCAGCCCATCGAGCCCAGCTGCTGACGCTGACTGGCAGCAGCGCCTCTCGCCCCGCTCCAGGACTCTTCCAGGAGGGGCAGGATCTGGTGGCTTCTGCACGCAGAGCATGCTGTGGCCGTAAACCCAACCACCCCATCCGAGAGGAGACGCATGGAATGGCCACAGACCGTTCCAGCACCCACCAAAACAAGTACTTCTGATGAGTCAGATGCACACTGCAAACCGTTTCCCTGCTTAATTAGCGGGTTATGTGTGGAAGGTTTCCAGGCAGAGGAATGGAAACAGATTGTGATAAAGCAGTGACTCAGTTACGGGGCAATACCTCAACGCTTTGGCATGAGACACATTCGATGAGCCGACAAAAGTGTTGCGGAGGGCGGGGGCGATGCTGGCTCCTTTCAGGAAAGGTGAGGGATTATTCATGAATCCAAAAAGCAACATTCAGAATATATAAGCACTCACACACTTCTGTATGCCCAGGGGGATGGCCTCCCAAATGGGCCAAATTAGAGAAATATTCATGCCCAAAACTCTGTTTGAGGAGAAAGGCAACGAGGTGTCCACAAGAGAGCTGGACAGAGACACTTTGCCTTGGAGGAGGGAGAAGGTGGACAGCTGGCGGCTATCCTGGCTGGCATCAGACAGAAGGGGGAAACCATCAAACGTTCACTGCATGGATGGAAGACACGGCAAGCAACAACTGCAAAAGCCACAGGCCAGAGATGAGATCCAGCCAGCCCAGGAAAACGGCTTTCTCCTTTCTGGAGCCGTTGCCATTCACAGTTGAAGGACACCCTGGGACGGATGAAAGTCGCTGCCTCGCAGAGCTTGGTGCAAATGCCAAAGCACTCAAGAGAACAGCCGCCGTAAGGAAACTTGCGGTCGGCGAGAGGAGGTTGGTCCCCAGCGAGAGGTTTTCTAGAAATGCTTTGGCGAAGCACGCAGGATGGCCTCGTTTCAATCCACCAGCAGAATCTTCCACAAGTGGGTCCCCCGGCCTCGGGCGACCCGAGAAGGGACGGGGCCCGGTGGAACCTCGGCCGCTCTCAGGACAAGGCCGCACCCTGTTCTTCAGCCAGGGATTCTGTAGGAAGCAGCCCCCGAGAGAACTCGAGACACTGCAAGTTAAATATAGGTTATGTTCACTGCATTTTTACAAGTGCTAGGTAGGAATATTATCCAGAGAAAGCTGTCATTTTTAATGACAGCACAAGCTCCAATTACTGGAAAACCAATACCCTTGGGAGTTGGAAGGCTTTATTCACCCCCACCCCGATTTGCTTGAAATTGGGGGTGGGAAAGAGTGCAGCACCACGATGCCAGCTTCTGAATTAGACGGAAATAGCTCTACCGGGTCTTAAGGCACTCAACTGCCTCTCCAGCTGCTTCAAGAGCCTCGGCTCGGCTGTGTAGCGGCCCAACCTTGCCTCCTTCCAAGGCCTGCCAAGCAAGCGGCTCCAGCCGGAGACAGCGCTGGCGGCCATGGCGGCCTGGAGAAGCCGAGAAGGCCCCGCTTGGGCCCTGCACATGGAACCCAACTGCAGCCCATGAAGCAACTCTGGACCAGATCAGGTGGTCGATCCTGCCTGGTGGCAAACTGAAGTCGGAGGAAAAGGAGGCCTGCGTCACCCGGCACCTAGTTAGATGGGGAATCCACTGCCGTGTGGCCACCGATCTGGATGGCTTTGAAAGGGGGCTGGTCAAATTCCTGGAGAAAGCAGTCCATGGCTACCAGCCTTGCTGGCTAAGCGCCACCTCCATGACCAGAGGCTGAATGCCCGCATACACTGGCTACGGAGCTTGCGTGGGCCAGGCCGGACTCTTGGACTCATCCTGCGTGAGGGGCCCTGAGAGCGCAGTGCCGGGCTGGATGGACCACTGTACCTTCCGTAACTGGGGCATCTCATGGATGAACCATGATATGTCCTTTCCGTGCCTCGGCAGAAGTTCCAGCTGGGGCCTGGGAAGAGCTGCCACTCCCACTCCGTGCAGGTGGAGTGGAGCTGGATGGCCTCTGGGCTGATGCCAGGCAGAATCCAGTCCCGGCTCCCTCCATTGTTACTGTAGCAACGCAAGCAAGCCCAGCCTGACGGACAAAGGTCCCCAGGATCCACACAAAGAGGGGCGCAAGTGTCCCATCAGCACAGGCAGGGAGCTCGGGAGGCAGCAGGGGCTCCCCGTCAGCCCTGCTGCAAGACTGGGCCCCCTCCCCGTCCTTCTTCCTTGTGTATCCTGTCTTTTCTGACTGTCGGTCGGCAGGCAGCGGCAGCCTCGTTTAACTGACCGTTTGTATGCAGGGAGTCCTTTTCACGAAGGAGCAGCACAGAAATCCGTCCAATAAATAAAGACAAAAAATTAATACACATCCTCCTCCCCTCCACCTTGGCCCTTGCCCCCCCCGAGGCGGAGACAAGGGGGACGGCGCGGGTTCGGCACCTGAGCCACAAGACGCAAACCCGGGCGCACGTGCCGCGGCAGAGAAGCTGCTGCCAGAGCAGGGCCACGCAATAAAGCCATTAACACACACGCAGAGGGACGCGTGTTGCCAGCTGAGGAGAACAATAGGTGGAGAAGCTAGCTGCCGGAGAATTTGCACCCCCGCAGATAAATGGAAAACTTCGAGCAGGTGAGAGGGAGAGCAGCTTGCTGGCGTACGGCAAGTGGTCCCGACTCAGGGAACGGGGAGGAACCGGCTTCTGCGGCTATAAATAAGCCCACCCCAGCAGGCGCGTTGCCAGAACAGCAGCCATCAATACGGCTTTCTCCATCAACGCTGCCAAACTTCACTTTTAAGGAGTGTATTAATTACGTAGTCAATATCAGTCCGTTTCATTAGTGTATTAAATACCCAGATCAATAATATTTCTACTATTTGGAGACAGGCTTAAGTGGGTGTGGAGGTGGGAGGCGGGGAGGATACCGGGGCATTTTGGACCCACGAAACTCACAAAGTCAGCAAGCCCCCACTCCCCGAGGCCGTCGGGGGCTTTAAAGGGGAACATAAAGCATTGGAAGGAGACAGGAATCAGATGATAGCTATCTTTTTAAAAAGTCCCTTGAGTGACAAGGCCCCAGGGAACGCATGGACGATGAGGGGCTGGAAGTGGAATCATTTGGCCTCTTCCCTCCTCCTTCCCCTCCCCACACAGCCACCCACACGCACTTGGGATGGCACCAGGAAAAACCGACTTTCCACCCCACGTGCTCGAAGAGCCAAGGGCCACCTGCCTGGCTCTGCCCCAGAGGGCGGCCATGGCTCCAGGGCCGGGGATGGCCAAGCCTGGGAGAGGCCTTGGGCTGCAGGCTGCCTATACCCTGACGCCAAGCTGACCAGTTCAAAGGGCCCTCGGTCCTGGATGCTCCTCTGGCCTGCCTGCCTGGCCTCCGCCTCTCCAAATTTTGGGGGTGGAAAAAGTCAATGGGAGGCGAGAAACGCAAAAGACTGGTTAGCAGAGCAGAAAGAAAGATGATCACTCCAAGCCTGCAATTTGTCAACTGCGAAGCAGGTGGAAGACCGTAATTTTCCAGCCAACACTTCATAAGCAAGGTCAGAAGGAACAAACGCCTACAATAATGAGCGGCGGAAGCACAGAAGTGCCCAGGGGTTAATCCAGAGCGGCTGAAAGGTGGCCTTCTGGTCATCACAAAGGGGGGCACAGGCGGGGGCAAGAGGTCACGGTGGAGGGAGGTCCCCCTATGGCCATCACCGGCGGAAGCACACACGGGGCCCCTCTGCTCCACAGGGGCTGGGCAGCTTTCCGCCTGCGCCCAAGTAGCTGCCTGCTTCCCCGGCGCAGGACTGCAACGCTGCCTGCTGCCGAGAGCCATACCGCCATGCTCGTTTCTGCGGCAGCCGAAGAATGCATAATTAATGCGATCAGAGGTACAAGGAGCCCTTCTGCTCTGTTAACTGGAAAGCCCGACAGCGCAGCTTCTGTTCCTGATACCAGTTCGGGGGCGGGGGGAGCACGGGGGCGTGCCCGTGCGTGCAAGAGTGTGCACAAGTGAGCGAGCACACACAGGTCTCGGCGCCTGGTTTGCAAACATGAATGCCAGATTGTCCACCTTCACCAGCAAAAGGATCATGCGCGAGCGCTTGGCAACACAAGGCTGGAACATCTCCGCTTCCCAACAGAGCCAACTTTTGCACCAGTAATGAGGTAACATCGCCGAAAATGGATTATGAAAACTAATTAATTGCTTTCCAGTAATGAGAAACTGCTGGCGTTGGCAAACGGCAGAAGCCACGAAACACAAGAACCGAATGCTGCTTTATTGAGAGACAAAAGAAACGCATCTCCCAATTTGGAGGCTCCGTCCCCTTCGAGATAAACAAATCGAGAGCTGCTGAAATACGAACAGAAGAAGCCTGGACCGGTGGCAAGCGCTGCAGTCCGCAGCCCCCCAAAAATGCAATATTAATTGACGTGAAAAACTAACGCACTGCTTTGTAGTCGCCTAGATTTCCCAGGGGGATGAAGAGTCAATGCTTATCAGCTTCTCTCAGAAGAGACAATTTTGATTAATATCAGGCCCATCTGACTCAGTCTATTAAACCCTGAAGAAAGGATATTCTTCAGATATAAGAGATACGACTTTGATTAATAATTCTACCATGTTGCCTTTCGAGGCATTAGCAACTGTCTGGCACCTGTGGCAGGAAGGAAGTCTTTGAACGTGAAGGGAGGGGAGGGGGAGGAAGGGCCTCGCTGTGTCGTTCCCACCAGGGCAGCCGCAACGCCACTCGGGCCCTCCCGCTCCCCCCGGGACTGAGGCGTCCAAGCCTCTCGGAGTTTTGGGGTGAAGGGAAGGGGATGAAGCGGCACCTTCTCTGCCCACCCTGCACGAGGTCCTATGGGCCCTCGTAGGACCTGGGCCCAGGTGAGACTCCTGCCTTCCCACAGGCTCTCTGCTGAAGGACACCCCAACCTGACCCCGACTTCCTTCCTGCAGCCGCACCACCGAAAACACAGGAGAGAAACAACGTGAGCCAGAAGAGGAAGCCACAAAACATTCCGGAATTTGTGCCAAAGGAGACGGCTGGGCGGGGTGGGGGGAGCCCACGGAAACCTTGGTCTGCTGCTCTTCTACGGAAAGGAAGACCCGTCTGGCCTGGAGGTGGGCTGGGGCGGGGCAGACCCTCCTCAGCCCAGCAGCGCCGCGTTCTTCCGGATGTTCATGATCAGCCTCTTGCCATATTCCTTGTGGTTGACGGGACTCACGTCCATCATGGTGGCCTTCAGGCGGGACTCGTCCTTGGGAGGAGAGAGAGAATGCCTCGGGTGAGGACACAGATCGGGAGCTCTGCTGGGGCACCGCAGGCAAGCGCCTGGCCTGGTTGCGGGGCTCTTAGCACTGAACGCAAACCCGGGGGGTGGGGGACTGGGAAGGCCCATCCTGGATGGCGAACATGGGGCGAAGTCTCCTTGGGACTAGTGTCCAGCACAGCATCCTCACTGCATTTTTAAAAACCTTTGGTTTTGTTTGAACTCACTGGGTGAAGTTCCACTGGGCAGCCACTAATTCTGCTGTGTTGCTGGGTAAGCCATTTTTTCCAGCCTTTAAAATATAATCTAGGTCCTATCAGTTTTTCCAAAAGAGGTGCAATCCCTGGGAGAGCCCAGGCCCCTGGAAGCTGACCTAGGCACCATGATTCGCGAGCGAAGCCACAAGGGGCTGGGCGTGTGGGCGGCAGGGACAGGTGTCCAGGTGTGTCTGTCGGGCTTACATTGAACGTTTCCACTTTGACTCTGATCCGGAATTCGTAGGTGCTGAACATGGCCTTCTGAAGTACCTCGCCAAAAGCGTAATCATCCTGTGGAAGAACAGGATGGACAGGCGTCAACACCCCTGTCAGTCCGGGGCTGCCCCAGCTGCAGGAGTGGGGACACGGAAGAGGACAAAAGGCACGGAACGGCCCCGTCAGACGATCCCCCCACAAGTGGGCTTCATCCCCACAGTCGGATCCGGCAGCACAAAGGGAGAGCCGCAATCCTGCGCTGAGCCGCTCCCCAGGAAGCTAAACTGAGGCTGCATCAGCGGAAGGTGCAAAGCTTCTCGACTGCGATTAAAGCAGACACTTAATTATGAGCCCTTCAAAGACCAATGTGGACGGCCACTTCACTGCCAGGGAGTCTTATCAGTGGCAGTCAGCTTCCCTGCTTATCTTGCGTGCCACGTCCAGAAGCCACAGTTGTTACAACAGGAACAGGTGCAGGAAGCTTTGGGGGCCCTTGGCTCCAGTTAGGGGGACGTGGGCTGGAGCGACTGCCCACACTGGTCTTCGGAGCCCTGAAGCAGGGTGAGACCCGAGGCCTGGCCGGCCCAGCACCGAGGCCCTGAGAGGAAGGCCACACGCAGCCCAGGAGGGGGGAAGTACCCACACACTCGTGCTCCCCTGTGGCTGCTGCTCCAATGGCAAACTGCCCCGACCCCGGGGGCAAGACAGAGCCATCATGGCCAGGAGCCACAGACCCCCTCCCACGGACCTGATTAAACCCGCCACTTGGCCAAACACCAGCCGGAACCCAGTGGGGATCGCAGGGCTCCGGGTGTTTTGCGGGGGGGGGGGGGGTGCACTCTTACACCTGGGTGTGGAAAGCAACGCAAGGCGCGCATTCCCGCGGGAGGCCATCTGTGGCCACTGGCCCGGCTGGCTCTGCGCTCCCCGCTCTGCCAGCGCCGGTGTGCCGGCTTGCACGCTGCCGAGGCACTGGGCGGGCAGAGGTCCTGCCCCATCTTGCGGGAGAGGGCCGGAGGGGCTGCGGGTCTGCTCCCGCAGGGCTGCTCTTGCGTTCTTAAGACCTCCTCCTCCTCCTGCTCTCACGGCAGACGGCGGAAAGCTGCTCTGACAGGGCCCGATTTCCGCCGTCCTTCGAGGGACCAAAGGCCGCTAGGGAGGCAGCCCAGCCTCGGCCAGAGAAGAGGCAGCTTGCAGCCCCTGCCGGAAAGAGCACCCAGATCCAACGGCCGGTCGCCTGCTGGGGCAGCGCACTCTGCATATGCCCAGGAGCCAGAGGGCTGCCAGGCCGCAAGGGGCTTTGAGGGCCCCCCACCCCGTGGGAGCCTGTATTGCTACTTGTGGTGGCTATCATGACTGAGGCGTGAGGCATGTATCTTCCAAATAATCACCACGTGAGAAAAGCTCGTTAGAGCACCTGGTAATCGTGGGCTCTAGGAAAACCAACCACGTGCTCCGAAAAAGCTACTCCACAGTTGTGGGCACTGCCCTTCCACGCACGGGACCAAGGGACCAAGGGCCTCTCCCGCACTTCCCTCCTCTTAGAGGAATCGCAGCAGGCTCCCGGCCACCACCACCACCTTCCGCAGCAGTTCCAGCGGTTCCCTGGCGAGCGCACAGCTCCGTCTCCCAGGGAGCTCGTTCTTGTCGAGGCGCCCAAGAGGTCTTTGCAAGCCTCGTTGTGACACGGGAGCCACCACCGCCGGACTCACGGCGCCCGGGTGAATGGGGAGGGAGAAGCCCCGGCGCCCCCGCCCGCCTTTCGGACGAAGGTGCCGCAGGAGCTGACCGACCTTCTCCCTCAGTTCGCCCAGGTAGGCCGCGCTCTGCCCAAGAATGGTCTCTGCCACCTCCTGGAAGCAGGTGACCCACTGGTTGTCCTGGAAGTCGGCGACGTTCACCTGGAGGCAGAAGGAAGATGGCAAACGTTCCACCACGGCTGGGTGGAAGAGGAGGGCAAGACCCCCTTTAGAGCCCCGGTGAGGCCCACGGCCCGGCCCCTCGCCCTCTCCTGCTGGCCATTGCTGGCACGCCTGGAAAATTCCTGACATGGTGCTGGTGGTGGAGCTGGGCAGGGTGACCGAGCGCAGCAGTGACAGAGCTGCAGCAGGCCTGTCCTGAAGGAGGGCCGGAAAAACCGTGGGGTGGGGGACCGGCCCCAGAGGCAACGTGGACGCACTTCCCCCCATCCAGCTCCCACCGTGGAATCCTCCCGGAGGACCCTCTGCCGGGCCTCTTTGCTTTCCCTCCGCGATACATCGAGACACTTCTCCCGGCAGATCCGGGGCACACAACGCTGTTGGCAGAGGGCCGGGCGCGCCAAACAACTGAAGGAGAAGCCGCCCAAATCCGCTTTGTGGGCGCAGGCAGGGCAGGCCTCTCTGCTTTGCTCTGGACTGGCTCGTTCGCGGCGGCGGCGCAGCTGCGGGGACGATGGCAACGCAAACGGGCTGGCGGGACCCGCATCGTGCCTGGGCGGCACCACCAAGCCGAGCCTGCACAGATTCTCTCCCCCGCAGTTTCCGCTATTCAGGAAGGGGGTAGCGGAAAGAACAGATGGGCCCCCATTATCGTGGGGTGAAGCCTCTTTGCCACCACGGGGACGGCAGAACCACCGAGGGAAACCTGAGTAGCCTGTGATTTTTAACGGCGGCTCCTCGTCTCTCGCACGGCCCGGCCCCGCCACTCCATCCCACACAATAAGTCCTTTCCCCGGGGGAGAGTTTTGATATTCTCAAACATGCTAATAAGGTGAGAACGTCTATTTGGAGAGGCTGCTTGGTTAGTCATTCGATTAGCCAAGCCGAAGCCTTGGGCGGCAGCCTTTAACGGGCTCCCTGTGTGGGAGCTTGTAAGGGCAAGCCAGAGGGCCCTAATTTGAGGGCACTTTCGCAAGCCGAGGGATGGAGAGGCGGCTGCGTGCGCCAGGGGTGCGAGCGGGCGTCACAATGGCAGCCCTCAGACATCCAGCGCAGGAGCAGGTTCCGCTAATGCAGGAGACACAGAACATTAGCCACAAAAGAGGGAACTAAATATAGGGAGCGGCTGTATAAGTGCAATTACCACTCTCCAGAAATACCGTTCTGCATTCGCTTATCTGCCTAACAAAGGAACACGGGCCGACGGAGCCTCTGCAAAGGCGGCAAAGCTCTCAAAGCAAGGGGGGGAGGAGGCACCTTGGCGAATGTGAGGCCCGAAAGGCCAGGCTCTGAAGCACATGGCCGGGGCCTGCCTCCCTCCCTCCCAGGGGGGAGCAAAGGGTTCACTCCCCGCTGCCTCGCCGGACCCTTGAAGAACACTCCAGCACAAGGAAAGCCAGTGGCCGAAGCGCAGCCCACAGAAGCGCGGATGAGGCCGTCCGACGGCGGGACCTCCATCTCCCAGGCCCAGCTCGGCACGGGAATGAAGTGGGTGGGTGGCACCAAGCCGCCGGGGCCATGAAGCACCGCTCAGTGGCAGACGCGGGCCTTCCAAAGAAAGCCGCAGCAAGTGCAGGAGGGTGGCAGGCAGTTCGGCGCGTTCATACACATTCCGCAGTGACGCGACGCAGAGAGAGAGAAATCCCCCCTTGGAAGCGGCCCGGGTTTCCAGAGTTTGACTGTTCTTGCCCAAAGGGGGAGGAGCAGACTTTGCACGAGGGACGCGCCAAGACTCCGCTTTTAAAAAGCAGCAAGGGGCGGTTCTGCCCCTCTGCGTGGCTCACATTTCTGTGCATGGGGGGTGCAGGGGCTGAGCACGGCTCTGCCTCACACCGCGACTCGGCTGCCCACGAGGCCCGGCAGCAACTCCGACAGGCAGAGACGCTGGAGCTCAGGCAGACCAGCATGTGCGCGCTCACCTCTGCGCCCTCACTCTGCACCCGTGCGCACGTACCCACGCACAGGGCTCTCCGGCTGTGCCGGGTCTCTGAAACGGCCCGCCCAGGACTCACCAAGAGAATCATGCGGTACTTGAAGTTGGGGAACTCCTGGTCGCACTTCTCGCAGCGATAGAGCCCGTTCTGCTCGTCGATCAGCTTCTTGTTGCAGTCCTGGGAAGGGCACGCCTTGTACATGCAGTTCTCCTTGCGCAGGTAGACCACCGTGCCCACGCAGCTGAAATAGTCGGGCTGCAGGGACGGACGGCAGGCATCAGGGCACACCTCTGGGGCAGCCGGGTGCGCCTTGCAAACCAGACAGGCACGAGGCCGTCACAGGCAGGCCTCTGGGACCCAGCCGGAGTCCCCGGGGACAAGCGGCACGACTCCAGCCACACTCGTCGATCTCATGGTGCGAAGTTAAGCCGTCCTCCCCGCACCCCCGTTCTCAGCCGGCAGGCGTACCCACGTCGCCTCAAAAACGTTCACGAGCTACATGGCCACACCGACTCCCAGCAGTGAGCGGAGTGGTGTGCCTGCCTTGCTTTCGGACGCAGACAAAGACCGGCCTGCATTAAATAGCCTCAGCACATTACCCGGACTGGGATATTTTAGAGTGAGCCTGTGGATTAACTGACGGACGAACGGGTCGGCCATTCGGGGAATGAACTGAATGACGGGCTGAGGGATCCGAGCAGCCCTGGTGTGAACGCCCCCCTCTGTTCAAAGAGGGCTTGCGCTCTAGTAACGGAAGGGTTACTGTTAATTCCTATTTAAGGAAAGGAATAATTGTTAAGACTAACATTTAGGCTGTATTGATGTCTCATCTTCCTGCTACATGGAAACTGAGTTGTTTCTAAATATTGCATGTGGGTTGATTGTGCTGCTGCTTTTAACTGATTGGGGACTGCAAGGTTTATGATACATTTTAAAATAAAATGCAGGAAAAGGTAACTTCTAACCATTTTTTTTTGTCCTGGTGACAACCCTGCAAGGCAGGCTGTTACTGCTCTCATTCTAGAGAAGGGAAAAAGGCTATGCAGATGAGCTCTGAAGGAACACAAGCCCAGAACTCCACATCACTCCAGATGTGGAACCGTGCTGGGCCTCTCCAAAGAGGCGTCCCGGGCTGCCTGGCCCCGTTTCCCTGCCTGTGCAGAGGCCTCCCGCAAAGACGGCAGTGCTAGGCAGTCCCCGAGTTACCTTCTCTCCTTGACCCAGGTTTTCTGATTTAACCTGGTGCAAAGTCTTCCAGTTCACGTTCCCGCCTGCTGCAGCCCCACCCCGCGTGTTAGAAATGGAGGTGGCTTCCAGAAGCTGCCCCTCGGAGTCGAACCTGGAACAAAGAGAGCCGTGCCCTAGTTCCAGGAAACAGAAACATGCTGGCGGGGGGGAGGCATCCCCATCTGAACGCACGAGGGCTCCGTTTCTATCAATGGCTCACACAGGAAACAATTACAGTAAGTTGTGTATATTAGTCACTAAAATAGCATTTCAGGATAAGCTAATGTTCCATTTTAATTAGTGTAATATTTTATAATCTTGGGAGAGGAGGCTCGGCTTTGCTCCGACACCAGCTAGCGGCTGCGGCTCAGCACTGCAGCTGCTCTGGGAAGCTGAGGGCACCGGGACATCAGCATGGGAAGAGCGAAATTACACGCCACCATTATCTTCACAGACGCTCGGAGAGAGATGCAGCGTGGACTGAAGAGATGGAGCTTCGGAAGAGAGGAGCGGCAGGCAAGCTCGTGCCTGGCAGATAAGCCGGGATGACCACCTCTGCTCCACCAAAGCAGCGTGGCAACGCAATTTGTTTTAGTAAACCACTGGCTTTGTTTCATCAGACCCATCGGGCACGGATAACGAGCGGGAGATGGCTGCTCGCACGGGGAGGAGGAGAGTGGCTCCGCCACAACCTGCTGGGTACTGCTGGCGGCGGAGGAGCGAGGCAGCCAAAGCAGGGAGGAAAGAAAGGCAGGGAGGCGCTGCTTCTACAGCTCTTTGTAATCCCTGCACAAAACCCCCTTCGGTTTGACCCGGCTGTGGGAAAAGGGGCTGCAGGAGCCGCTTCTGTGCTTGCAAACATGGCTGGCTTCTGAAGGAGCCTGTGGCACCCCCACCAGACAAAGTGGAAGCAAAGGCTTCCACGAAGAAGCTGTTCCACAGCATGAGCACGCTCTCTCTCTCTCTCTCTCTCTCTCACACACACACACACCTCTCCCTGGAAAGGGGTAGGGAATGACAGAGAGCTGTCCAACTGTTATCTTGAATGCCTCCAGTGCAGGAGAGCTGACGGCCTCCCTGGGCTATGGAGGCTGTTAGCATACGGCTCGAACACCTAGGATTTCTCCCCCAATGTTCTGTCGGAAACCGACTTCCTGGAACTGGAGCCTGTGATTCCATCTCCAGAAGAGATCTTGGTCCTCTCTGTGAGACAACCTTTCAAGTGCTTGTGAAGTGCTCTCATCTCTCCCTGCAGTCTTCCCAAGCTAAACATGCCCGATTCTTTCAAGTTTTTCTCACGGGGCTTTGTTTCCACTGCCCTGGTCATCTCTGTTGCCTTCCTCTGAGAATTTTCCAGTGTCTCTGCATTTCTTTTACCTTGTCCTGCCCAGAACTGGAGCGCTCAAGAGGAGACTAGGCGGTGCCGAGTGGAACTGAACCTGCACCGAGGTGATTTGGAAACAGGGCAGTCCAAAAGAGCACTGGCCCTTTTATAGCAGCATCGTGTTATGATCTTAAAGCCGAAGTCCGCTGAGTTTGGGGTGAGTGGTGCAGAAGCTGAGCTGCGCTACTGAGCATTCTCGTGACCATGCTGGCTGGGAATGATGGGGCCTGCAGTCCAGCACAAAGGGCCCAAGTGGAGGAAAGCTGTCCTTGGTGAGTTAAGGCTCCTTCCCACACAGCCAGGGCTTCGGACTTCTGCACCCTCAGTCCCCGAAGCTGCCATGGCTCCTCCCTCCCTCCCTCCCTCCCTGCCGCCCACCCACCCAGCTGCACTCCCCTCCCTTGCAGGCTCCCTTTCCTCGCACACAAGGCAGGCCTGGATTCTTTTCAGCTCCCTCTTCAAGCCTCACCAGGCCTGCGGAACACACGCCAGCCCACACACTGACACTCAAAGCACACCGCAGATGCCCAGCGAAAGAGTGTGGCCACCCGCACCCTCCTCTGTCTCTCGGCTGCTTTTCAGAGGGGCCACCCTTCCAACAAAACACTCTGTCAAAGGAGATGGGCGGCTGCCGCAGCCCCCGTCTCTGGCACAGCCTTGAGTGCGCCAAGAGCACTTAAGAAGAACAATGCACCGACTGGAACAGAGTGCATTAAAGAGCCTTCCTCGCTAATGGATTCTCGTCCTCACAACAGGCACAGCGGAGGAATTGTGTGCACCCTGATTCTGAGACCGGGGACTCGAGGATCAAGGGCTCGCCCAAACTGTTCTGGCGAATTAGGAACAAAGACGAGCCCACCGAGCACGTGGCTGGCACACCTGCGTTCGCCAAGGGACCCCTGGGAGCTGCGCTCTGTGCCGCCACTGAAGGTCGCCGAACTCCAGTGGGACCAATTGCGGCCAACAACGAAATCCCCCGTTGGCACGTGCCGCACCCAGGCACTGGGCGCAGCGGCTGCCACAGAGCACCCCCGTTCCCCGGACGGCGGAACGGAACCCTGCCGCACCTGCAGAACCTGCAGCAAAGCAGGGCGGGAAAGGAGAAGCAGGCAGAGAACTCGCGGGCCCAGAGAGAGGGCTTCTAGGAATAGCCGGCTGGTCAGCCCTCACGCTAGCCCTGGGCACAGCCCCAACCTCAGTTCAGCAAGATGGGCTGCCGAGAGCTCCGACGGCTGCAGCCGCCCCCAGACTGTGCCCTGTGGGTCCAACCTGCCTTGCCCTCCGTTGGACCCCAAACCCGCCACCTTAGCTGGCTGCCTCATGCCTTAGCTCCTACAGCACAATCTCATTTCGGGTTCTCCTGGGCAGCAAGAATTCTTTCCCCCATGCCAAAATCTGTCTGCTTCAACAGCTAATTCTTCATGGTTTGTCATACAGTAACAGGGGTGTCGCATCTGCCCCTCCAAAGGCCCGGTGCCTCTCCTTCCCTGACCCAACCTTGGCTTGCAAGCCGATTACTCAGGGGATGGAGAAGAAGAAAGGCAGCACGAGTCTCTTTTCGCACAAGCAATTGGCAAAAACAGCAACAGCAACAATAAACAAGATCATAGGAGAAGCAAGCATACCATCCACGCAACTTGAAGGACTCCGGGATGTCGGGATTTATGATGATGGTGCTCGACGTGAGGGCAGACAGACTGCGGCCACTAAAATCCGAGACCCGGGCCCCTTTGATGGCCACCACAGGCTGCCGAGAGCCGTCAAATTGCTCAGCCTGTCGGACAAAGAAGCAAAGTGCTCACTGCACAGAGCCAAGGGCTGAGAGGAGGCTCATGCAGACAGACCCCAGTCCTCCAAGGCAAGAAAGAAAAGCCGGGAGCGGCCGAGAAAAGCACTGGGCACCCCCGTCCTTGCGTTTCTGTGCAAGTGGCAGAGAGGGGGCTCTCCGGGGTCTGTCACATGCCAAGTCCTGCAGGTGGGGTGCCAACACAGTGTTCCGAAATGAGTGGGGGAGCACAGCCCCCTGCCCGTCAACCGTTACGGATTTTCTAAGTGCTGTGGAAATTGCTCATGACAAGACAAGAGATCTGTAAGCCCAATCGCCACAACGCCCGTCTTAAATCAGGGGTCTGGGGAGAGAACTTCGAGAGTAACGAACCCTGGCATGAGATCATGGGCCACGGAAAGATGCAGGGACATGGGAGAGGGGCCTGGCCAGCAGGTCCTTTGTCCAGTTGGCCCAGTGCGGCCTGCCGTGACGGGCAGTGTCTCTCTGGGGCTTCCGGGGAAAAGAGAAGGGTCTTCCCCATGGCCCGAAAATACCTAGAGGTGCTCTCAAGGATGTTTGTACTGCACTGGGGCTTCTGCCCAAGCTGCTTCCTTGCCCAAAGTAGGAATGTCAAGCTGCTGGCCTCTCAGAGCACGGAAGCCAATCAGCACTGCAGCCAGAACAAGGGCAGGCACACCCTCATGGCCTCCCCACAGCCAGAAACATGGGAAGCCCCGCCAGATCAGAGCAAGGATTCGTCTTGTCCGGCCTTCCGTTCCCGGTGGCCAACCCCCCGTCTTGACAACGGTGGAGTCTGCCTTCTCCAAACCAGTGGCCTCCAGAGGCACCGCACTACAACTCCCAACATCCCTCAGCCAGCCACCTCAGCGTGTCACTTACATCAGCTCCCCACAGAGTGACTGTCACCAGCTTGCCAGACATGTCCATCAAGTGCAGATCCCGCTTGCAAACCTCTCGGTTGGAAGATTTCACTGTAATTTTTGCGGCATCCTCAAAGCTCTTGCAGACTCCAATCACATCTGAAAGGCAAGCAGGCAATCGGTTACCAGAGCCTGGCTGGGGCAGCTCTCCGGGCAAAGGTCCTGTGGAGCCCCCAAAAAGTCCTTGGGCCTCTGCTTCTGCAAGCAGGGGGGAAACATCTGGGTCCTCCCCCCTCTGGATCCAACACACGTGGTCCACTTGCTACGACCTACTGAATCCTGACCCTGAGAAAGGGGAACACTGCTAGCTTTCTAATTCATTAGGTGCTCTTTTCATTATTGATTTAGCTAAATCTGCCGCCAGAGTGACAGCAACTCGCAAAGATGAGGAGAAGGGAGTGCTTTAAATTGGAGCAGTCAGGAAGCAAGCATCCAGTGTTCATCAGGGTTCACCCAGGCCCCTGCTTCACCTACAGATGTCTCCAGATGTTTTCAACACGCATGGCTGTGCTTCATCCCAGCCTGCTAATGGACCAGCACCGACCAGCTCCACGGTGCTCAGGCAGCCCCTTCTATCTAATAACTGTGAAATGTTTTGGTCATCTGCGGCCGTGCTCAGCTGGGTGTAGCATTTGGTGTCCACTTTCTGAACAGGAGCGTGGTGAGGTGAGAAAAGCAGGTAAGCACACGCCAAACCCCAAACCTTGGCTGCTGTGCTGTCTGAGCAAAGCACGGGAGGTGGCTTCAGGGGCCAAAGGCACGGCGCTCGGAATTCCTAGTCGAAAACACAAGCGGCACCGCACGCTGCCTGGGGCTGGGCCTGTGAGCGAGGGGCCGCCGGCTCCTCGGCAGCAAAAAGCAGCGCCGAGCACTGGCCGGAGCAATGTTCCAAAGGACAGAAAGGAGGACGAGCGTGCCAGCGCCCAGACCTCACGGGCCGGGACTGGTCTTCTCCACCACCCCAGTCCTCCAAGTCCCTCCCCGACCGGCCCAGCTAACCCACAATGGAGTCCTTGTTTATTTTCTCCAAATCTCCAATGGACACGAAGTCAAACTTGACTGACGGGAGGTGCTCTGCGTCCTCACAGGGGACGACAGATGTGTCGCTAACGAACGTGATCTCGTAGTCATTTTTCACCGTGGTGTACTGCTTGTTGGCCGCCTTGAGATTCCCCTTGGAGAAGTAGTACACCTGCAGCAGAGAGAAGGGGGATCAGAGGCCTCCCGCGGCTGCAGCCACGGGCTGCTCGAGGCAGCGCCTCACCCCCTGCTTCCTGCCCGACAAGCCAGGCTCAGGCTCAGGGTTAGGGTTGCAGGAACGAGGGGTCCTGGCGTGGTTCTGACAGGTGGAATGTGTTTACAATGGGCAGAAATGATGAGCTGCGCAGAAAAAGCTACTCAAGGAGGGCTTTTTCAAAATCACCCTCTTTCCAATGCAACTTTACCCCCATATTAGGGTTAGGGGTGGGCACCAGGTTAGGGTTAGGGTTAGAAAAAGGAGGGGTCCTGGAGTGATTCTGATGGTTGGAATGTGTTTAGAGTGGGCAGAAATGATGAGCTGCACAGAAAAAGCTACTCAAGGAGGGCTTTTTCTGAATCGCCCCCTTTTCAATGGAACTTCAGCCCTAAAGTTGAGGTGAAAGCTGACCCAGATGGAGGCCCATCTCACACAGGGCTGCAGGTAAGAGGGTTTTTCCAGCCCGACCTGAGGGATCCTGGGTACCTCTGCATGCCAGTCCGGGGCTCTACCCAAGCCACATCCAGCTCACATGCCCAACCCGGTTAGCCAACCTGCAATGGGGGCCCAGTACCTTGTTCAGCTCAATGAGAGGGTAAAACTTGTCCACTTCGCTATTGAAGGCAGTTGCTCTAATTTCACCCTGAAGGAAGAAATCCGGAAAGCCCAGTCGAAAGGGATTCCAAGGCCAGAGTGACAACACCTCAGCCCCGCCACCCCAGCGCCATTTGTTCCTGTAGCAGGAAAGGGGTGTGCACCTGTGCATATGTGAATTATGCTCCACCCATGAGCTCTCACAGATGTTGCTTATCCATGCATAATTACGACAGCATTCCTTATCTCAGAAAGAAAGGTTGTGGTAGCATGCAAATACATTTGAATTTGAATAAATTTGTTAAAAAGCAGTTGTTCAAATACTTCCCGGCTGGTCAATTAACAACCTTAACAAATGCCCATGCCCAGGTCCCTCCACACCAAGACATTAGAACACTCCCTTCCTCAACCTGGTACCCTCCCCAATGAGTCGGACTATAACTCCCAGAATCCCCCAGGCAGCAACCAGGCTGGACCAGGCTGCAGTAAGATGTGCTGAACGCCCTGCTTCATTTCCTGGAAGAGATTCCAGAGCAGGGCCCGGGTGCTGCCCCCACACCGCTGGGACAGGCAGCCTGAACACTGTCGCACCACAAGCTCGCTATTGCCTGCTCCTAGCGGTACAAATTAGCGGATGACATCACACACAGAACAGCAGCACCCAGAGTGTTGTGACAGGCCGTTCCCGAAGTGATAATTAAAAGCACCAGCAGCTCAGATGTTTATGCAAGAGGAGCATTAAAATTGTAATAAAAACTGTCAGTCAGACACCTGACAGCAGAGAGGAGAATCAAAATGAACAGCTGATGAGGATGTGCCGGAGTTCAGCACCACACCTTTCCACCCTAAAAATATTTCCACGTACAAATGAGCAACAAGCCCCCCACCAGCCCCCTTCCGTAATTTGAGCAAGAGTGTTGAATTGCAAGCGCTAAGTACAGGGGCTTGACTAATCAAGCTTTATTCCTCCCAAAACAAACTGAAGGCAGGCGTTGTCCTCGAGATGCGTAATTATTTTATTTTCTAATTAAAGGATGCTCCTTGCCTCCCGGCTTCCACAGCGGGACTTGCCATCCACTCTGCACCAGAAGAGCCAACTGCCCAAGAAAACCAGGTTTCTCTGCCCCAAGTCCACCCATACAGACAACAAGGTTCTGACAGACGCCGCTTTCACAGGCAACCCGTAGGTGGCCCAGATAAAGCTTGACTCTAAATCTGAGAAGAATCAGGTATTAGCAAGTAAAAGAACTGTGAAAAGACAGGAAGCAAGTGGCTGAGAAATGACTCCCCCCCACCCCCGCTTTCCTTCCTGCTTATCACAGGCTCTGGGCCATCCAGCTCCCACACGGTCTGCACGAAAGCCCGGCCCGGCAGCTGACTGGTTCACCCCAGAATCATCCTGTCTTCTGCTGGGGCTAGTTTGGCTACAGAGCCCAGGTGAAGCACGGCCTGCTGTGACAGATGTGATGCCGGGGGGGGGGGTGAAGCAGGTTTGGGGGTCCAGATGGACAAGGAGGGGAAAGAGCAAGCCCCACTGAAGCTGGGCAACAAGGAGCGGTCCAGCAACGGTGGCAAGAAGGGGACCTCTCTGAGCACATCTTGCCAAGCGCAGCTCCTTCCAAGACTAAATTAGAGGCTGCCTATACTGAAATAAGCAGCCCAGTCCGTCTAGCCCAGTATTTCTTACACTGACTGGCAGCAACGGTTAGGGTCCTTTCCTTACTTTACCTGAGGATATTGGGGAGCGAACCTGGGACTGTTTGTATACCAAGAAGGGACTCTACCACTGAGCAACAGCCCTTCCAGAGCTGACTTCTCCTCCTCCGTGCGATTATATAAACGTGAAGAGCCGAGATGAGCAGCAGCACAAGCAGGGAGCCTACAACTGGCCTGATGGAGAGCTGTCGGCAAAGGGCTCCCTCAGAGACCGGCAGAGTCGGAAGGGGCCATGGCGGCCACCGGTCCAGCCCCCTGCTGCTGCAGACCGGTCTGTGCCACCCCGCTCAGTCAGCTGCCCAGTTGTCCCGTGGATGCTCCCCACACTCGAGCGCGGGCATATTCTAACCTCGCGACGCCCCGGTCACGCCAGCACTTACGCTTTCATCCACCAGTTCGATGGAGAACAGCTTCCCTTCCCCGCGCGAGTTGCTCCATGTGCGGATCTGGCCTTTCTGAGTCACTCGGGCACAAATGGTCCACCTGGAAAGATACGGTGAGAAAGCAGCTTCACCGACAGGCACAGCTTGCCGACGCTCGCCAAGAGCTCTCCTTGATCCAGAATGCGGAATCGGAAAGGTCCCTAAAGAGCGGCGCCAAAGAGCTGCAGGCCCTCGGAGCTGCCTGATGAACCCTCAAACCATCTCCTGAACTGAGCAGCTTCCCGCCAGGCGGGGCCAGAGGAGCATGCCTGGCACACACCTCCACCGGCAACAGCGTCCGACGGAACTAGTCCTATTTCATCCACACACAGCCCAAAAGCTCAGCGGCTCTAAGAGTGGGCCCCTCATCACCGTCCCACGACGCCACCTGGAGGCCCGCCCTAAGCAGAGGCCTGGACTCGATGGCCTCATAGGATCATGGAGCAGTGGAGAGGGAAGGGGCCTGTTCTCTGGGCTTCTGCAGGCACGGCACATGGGAGGAACTCAGGCTGCCAACAAGGATTCTGAGCATTTCCTATGGAAGCTTGCCATGCCGAAGCCACCTGCTAAGGAGGCAAAGGAGACAGCTTTGCTTTGCTGGCAAAGGCAGACACGTCGACAACGCAGCCTGTGCCAGCTCCCCAGATTCCACACCGATGCAACAACTTCCCCAAACTAGCGTGCCTCAGCATCAGCTTCTCAGAAATTAATCCACAGCCAATCCTCTGGAGGGTAATCCCACTGCTGCGGTGATACGCAATTAAAACAGCATGGCCGCCGCCACACCGCAAGAGGAAAGCATGGTGGAGACCCACGTGCTAAGCAGCAGGGCTGCGGGCGGGTGGCGCGAGCGAACCCACTTACCTGGACTGGTACGGGTTCAAACTGATAATGGGCACCACTTTGACCTGTGAGCGCCCAGGGGTGCTCAGAACACTGGAGCTGTCCGCTTTCCCAAGCACCTTCGAAGGGCCACCGTATTTCCCAACGGGACCTGGGGTATGAGAGCCCACAGTCAGCTCTGCAGGACTCAGCAAAAGGAAAGCGGTAACATGCAGGAGCCAACCCTGCCGCCACCAGCAAAGGCGGGATTTATGTACGTTGGATTTCTAGCTCGCCTTTTTCCTTACAAGAACTCAAGGCAGTTTGCATCCTTCTCCTGCTGCTGTTCTCCAATCTTACCCCCACAACGACCCTGTGAAGCAGAGTCTTGGAGTACACGGAAGGCCAAGCTTTGCCATTATAAGGCGGTTCCACCTTTAAAGTGCAACGGGACTCTATGTGGCTTTTGTTTGAATGGACTAACGTGTTTGCAGGTTTATAATACTAGCTATATACACACATTACTGAAATACGTACATTCCTGATAAATAGCGTATCTTTCTGTGTGCATTGAATAATTTATATTGCACAGCAATTTGTTTCTTTGTTTTGAACAGAGCTTTAATAAAAAGCTAAACTCCCCAGCAAGGAGAAAGAGAGAGAGAGAGAGAGAGAGTTTAAGCTGCCCGTCACTTGGCAACACAAAGTTTCACCTCCTCATTTAGCTAACTATTACTGTGTGTGCCCATAATAATTTCCCACAAGCTACAAAAACCGACTGGATCTATCATTATTAATGAAGCTCCACTATAACCTGACAGGACCTAAAAATTATTTTCCAGTTCCTATTCTCTGTCAGTTTCCCTTTTCGATTTGATTTTCAATTGCACGTCATCCTCTTACTCAGGCCTCAGAAACAAAAGGCACTTTAATTATAAACCTTTATTGCCAATAAGCTGGGATCCAAAGCAAAAGCATTTGGAGACATGGACGCTGTCGGGAGGAACTTCTGGCTGTCAACCGAGAGCCGCTCCCTCTCCCCCACCTTCATCCCTGCAGATACGTGGATGTATTTTCCCTGTCCACCCAACTCTGCAGCCCCTTCCCCAGCCTCGGGCCCTCCAGGTTCCTCACCCGCTCCTGGGCTCCCGTTCTGCTGCAGGGGCTTGCCTGGCCATTGGTTGGCTGCTGCAGCTGCGGCCTGTGGCTGCTTCACCTCCTGCCCGGCTCCTGGCGATCCAAGAAAGAAAAGGGCCGTTCCACCGTGCACCCAAAGCACTCACCGCAGCCTTCCCTGAGCCAGTGTGCCTTGGATCCCAGCATCCACGGTCCGCCACAGTCCGACATTCCCGGAGGGTGCTGGGCCAGGGAGGGCTGCACGCGGAACTGACGTGGCACGCTGTGAAGCTTTTTCAGGCAGTCAAAGTAACCCAGGGCGTCCAAGGAGCTGCCGAACTGACGGCGAGTGCCGACAGGAGAGGGAGGGAGGCTCTGGGCTCCCACGGTGGCACAGCAGATGCTCCAGTTCTCTGGCCCTCTGCTCAGCACCGTGAAGGCCCGCGAGCAAGCCAGAACTCAAGGAGGCTGCTGCACCTCTCTGCTCTTCTGTACCTAGAAGCAAAACCTACCCAATTCTCCGTATTTTGATGACTGGTGTGACGCTGGCCGAAAAGTCTTTTTAAAAGAATTCTATACTTTTGAACAGACTTAAAGAAGATACCCTTGTTGATGCCAGGGACAGAAGGAAAGGCAGGAAGCAAACACAATGCAATGCCAGCCACGGAGAAGAGGGGAAGCTGGCACCAGGCAGGCGGACCAAGGCCGGCTTCCAGGCTGAAGCAAGAGGAAGGAGCAGAACTGTTTATGGGAACAAGAGCTACAACCTCATTTTTAAATGTGGCGGCAATGGATGCTCAAGGCAGAATGTTGAGCAACTCTAAATGACGGTGTAACGAGGCGTCCGGCAACAGCAGGGGGTCGGACGCGATGGCGTCACGGCCCCTTCCGACCCTACTATTCTATGGTTAATCATTCTGCGACCCAGAGAGGCACCCCTGAAGGATTCCGGATCACCATCTGCCATTCATACCAGCCTACAAAGGCAGTACCAGAAGTGACACCTACAGCTCACTAGAAGCATCGCTGCCTCCACGGCAGACTCGGTGGCTGGCATGCCAAGTGCCAACAGGACTGTGGCCAAACACAAGAGGGAAGACGCGTGGGCTCCAAAGAACCCCTGGGCTTGCGGAGGTGCAAAAAAGCCGCTAGGGGAGAAACCGAACAGTGGAACTGAGCTCTGGATTACTGAGTATTTCTTTAGGAATAAAGAGGGAAGTGGGGAACAGGAACAGGCTCTCCTGGAACCACGCGTGTCCTCTTATCAGACGGTCGGGAAAAGGAATTCTCTTTGAACTCACTGCCCTAGTGCACTTAATTTGCCACTGCACCACGTCCTTTTCCTCTTGCAAGGACCCCAAAGCAGTTGCAAGAGGGGAACAAGTGTGAAAAGTGATGTCAGCGGGCAGGAGACATCAGGAAAACAAGCCATTAACCCAGCTCAGAGTTCATCTGTTGGGGCCCTTAAGTCAAAACGCAAAACCCCGATTTCTCAACAAAACAGGAAGCGGAAAAGGCCACGAGGCAACTAAGGTGCTTGAACAAGCCGCAGGGCCGCCGCCACTGCAGAAAGCTTCTTACCTTCGGTGTACTGCACCGGATTGCCGATCTTAGCAGCCGCCGCATCAGCCGCTCTCACGACCTCCAACTCCATCAGGATAACCACCCTCCTGCAAAGACAAAGTCTTTGACTGGCGGTGCCTGCTTGACGTGTCAGAGACCACGAGCTGGGAGGGCGAGCAGGCACCTGCGGGATCCCTCACACTGCCTGCCTGGCGGCCCACAGGGAGGGGGAACCCAGCTGCGTTTGAGCAGAACAGCACACCGGGATCCCGGCAAATTCTGCCATGCTGGTCATCAGCCGTGTCCTGCTGCAGCCTTCACTCCAACATGACCCCTTGCGCCAAACGGTCTGTCTAGCGCCCAGGTGGCCAACCTGCAGCCTTCCAGATATTTTGGCCTACAATCCCATCATCCCTCACCACCCAGCCTGCTACCTGGGGCTCATGGAAAGCTGGACGTTGCCCACCCCGGCTCAGCATGTCATCCAAGCCCCGGCTCGCTGCTTTTACAGTCCAAAATTGTGCGCCAGGACTGCACACAGACGATGGAAGAGACCGCTGTTTTCTCCTGCAGAAGCAGCCCAGGCCTCAACAGATCCACAGAAGTATTACTGCCGTTCAAATGCAGTTTTTAGTTTTCCTCGTGGATATAAAAGGCCAAGGATGGAAACAATTTAGGGTGGTTTAATTTGGACATGGCACAAAAGGGAGTTGGCCCCAGTGGCCTCACTGGACGCCTCCAACTCTACTATCCTCTGATTCTCCCTCTTTAGTCCTGAACAAGCCAATAAGTTGAATCGTTAAGGGATCGTTAATCATTAATATGCCTGGCTATAACTTTCTGAACTTGGGAAGTTTTGGGACACAGAATGCAGGGCAAGGACTGCCAAGAGGCTTCCCCCACCCTCCGAAACAGCCAATTTCAGCCAAGTGCTCATGCGAAGAGGTTGAGGCTGCTGGGACTGCACCCCAGACACACAGCACCCCAGCAGAGCCTCACTCCTCTCATTCCCGGGACACCCTGACCCCCCACCCCATGACAGCCCCCACCAGTCTTGTGAAGCTGAAGCTACAACTGGTATGGAACGAACGACAACAAATGTGAAGGCCGGCGGGGAGCACTCTGCACTCGACGTGGCAACGACAACCTTGCAACCTATTTCCGTGCTTGGAGCTGGAACTCCAAGCTTTTCTTTGGCTGCCTGGTTTGTGCCTGAAATTAGCACGTGTGTTCAAGATACACCCTTCACTGCATGGAAACATGCTTGCGTTTACGTGAATTCTTTGTCCCCGCGGAACGCCTCGATGACAGTATTTCAAGAACTGAGCCATGTTATTTTCTGATCGATCTGGTAGCTGAGCTTGCTCTTTTCCTTGGGAACAAGCAGAGGGCGCCGGCACACACTGCCCAATCAACCCACTTGACCCCAGGAGCTTCCTCTGTGTCCCCGAGGACCCTGCTACTCCCTTCCTGTCTTGAAAGGGAAGGTTTACATTTTCTTAATGGGAGCCGGGAGAGGCTCACAGCGAAGGGGGGTGCTCTGCTGCAGGCACCTCAATTTCCCACGAGGAACTCGGAGCTGTACACAGGACCTAGCAGCATTCTCGGGAAAAGAACGCGGCAGCCACTTGAAAGGAAACGATGGTTTCAAAGGAGTTGTTTGGTGTGCGGAAGCTCAAACCCCACTTCTGCCTTGGGCTGAACTGCCCTTTTTAAGTAGCTACACACCCACGGCAGCCATTTTATAGCGCCAAGGACATTTTATCGGATTCCCAGGTGTGTATCGGCCCAGAAAGGCTACCTGTTCCTGGGCAGCTTACCAGCCACAGAAAGGTCGGTGTTACATGTGCAACTTTTTACTCCTTTGACAAGCCAGGATGCAGAGATAGGGCTGGGGTACAGCAGCAAAGAGCAAACCCTGGCCTCAAACCCTGGCCTGATAGAGGAGAGACAAGCCAGGGGTTTGCAAAGCTAAGGTTTCTACGGCTGATAACTTTGGTGGTTGCTTCAGGTGCTCCGACTTGGAGGAGGACCCAAACAGGAGTAATGTGTGAACACTACAGACTTGCTCAGCCTCTCTGCTTTGTGCTAATGCAGCTAGTCTCAAACCTCAGACAATATCGAACAACAAAGTGGGAGAGGGCCGGGTCTTTGTTTTTAATTTATTCCAAATTGGCCACAAGTGGCAGGTGTAGGCAGGTAAGACTACCAGGCTCACGGGCAAGTTGCCGTGGGGAGCAGACTTTCCAGCTGCAGCCCTTAAGAAAAGACCAAAACCACCACGAGCAGAGGGACCGACGCCTTCCCAGTGCCTAAGGCCGCCCTGAGGGGGACCAGGCTCCGATACAGGATCGCGCAGTTGTACGACCTACATTGTGTATCAAGCAATTACCTTCCATCCTTCAGGGTATTAACGATGAACCGGTTTATCTGGCAAACGGCATTGGCAGACAGGCGCTGGTCATCAACCATCGGGTTCAGCTGCGTTGCCAGCATGAAAGCTACGTGCAAAACAAAAAACGGGGGGAGCGGTGCTGAACAGCCTTTATGAGGCGAAAGGGGCAGGAGGAGATTAATGCTCAGATAGCGGAACACCGGGGGGACGTAAGCAACAAGCTCCCGGGATGAGAGAAACGGTTTGCACACAAACCAGCATTCCAGTTCCAAATTATACATCTGACCATGATGGCCACCACGTCGTTTCATGCCTGTTCCCTGTATTTACACGAGGCTGTCCAGTGACCCCACTCCCTTGCAGTCCACGACACGCACCAAAGCGGAACGCCGCTGGAAGTCACTGGAGGCCCCTTCCCGTGAAATCTGCCCCGTGCATCCGTGGCTCAGTCAGGCCTTCCAGACGGTTTCAAGGCGAACGTTCCACCTGCTAGGCAGACCTCACCGTTTTCTCAGACTCTGACCTTTGTGGGGGGATCTCCACTCCCCAAGACACCAGCCCCCATGCAAACAAAAAGTCCCCCCCATCTGAGGACCCAGAACTATGTCCACCTGCCCAGCTCCTGCCTCCCTCGAGGCTCCAAGCTGAACACAAGTTACACACGAGGCTCAGCAGGCTCAAGGCGAAGCCCAAGACGCCTTGTGCAGCTTGCCTTGAGGGTCAGCCTCAAGGCTCTAACTGAGGAAGGCCACGTTCACATTGCTTCCTGTCAAATTACACCCCTCTCTGGGGCCCTTCTGGTGTTCTTGGATCTATTTAGCTTGGCCCTGCTCCCTGGAGCCTCAGGCAGATGACTTCCCCAGCCGTACCACCCAAGAAGCTTCCTCCCCCTTTCTAAAGAGCCATCCGCTGGACCAGGGATCTGTGATACATGAAGTACGGCTCCTGCCACCAAGCCGCACTGCCTCTGCCTGGGAGTGCCTCGGCCAGCCTTCCTGCAGCCACCCTCTCCCCACACAGATGCTTACAGGAAAGCGTGTTCACGCCATCACTCATCAGCAATCGGTAGCGTGGCGGGCCACTTCCAGAGGAGATGGGACGGATGCTCTGGGTGAAAACAGAAGCACTTAGCCAGGTTTTTAGCCAAGGAGGAAGGCCAGCTTAAGATAAGCACAGCCGGAGAAGCAACAGTGCCAAGTTGAAGAATAAATGCCTTTTGAATCTTTAGAGGCTGCTCAGCTAACACACAGTATTTCCACCATCCTGCTATCCAAGGGGAGGTTGCAGAACTGGCCACTTTTGATGTCTGGCTTACCACTTTAAGAAAAGCAAAAAGCACAAACAATCAAACAACCCCAGGGTGTGCGAGAAAGCAACTCTGGGGAGCAGCTACTGCCCTGTGGTAGCTTCAGCCCTTGTCGTCAGATGGGGCCCAGCAGCTGGTGCCTGGGGAGGGCTGTTCACTGACCTCTTGGGTTCCACCAGATTCTACCCCCATGTCATTTAGCATTTACAGGAGACCACCGAGTCAGGCCCTCTGAGTGCCAGAGCATGGTGCCCCCATATACTGACGACACCCGACTCTCCTGCTTTTGGATCCTAACATCAAGGAAGCCAGACAAGACAGAGGCGAGATGGGCGAGCAGAAAACCTGTCTTGGCGACCAGGATTCACCTTGTTCTGAAACGGGCTGCATTCCCAAGCAAGGTTCCAGTCTGGAGACTGGGAATATAAACCTCACTCCTACGCCGTCCGTGGAATATTAGGCGGCAGCAAGGAGCGCATTCACGCAATTGTGCGTGGTGCGCGAGCTTTCTGAGTCAGTGTGTCTTCACAGGACTTATGCACGCCTCTTGCACAGTACTCCACCTGGGCCTGCCGCACGTCCACCGCAAGCTCCAACTGGTGTGACTTGTGGCAGTTCCGCTTCTCTGTGGTGCAACATACATGGATCTGGGCAAACTGGGCTAGAAAGGCCTGCGCCGGCTGCCGGCTGCTTCTGGGAGTCAACAGAAGGTGTTGTTTCTCATTTTTACAGACCAGAGTGGCCTAACACCTGGCTATAAAAAGGACTGAGCACCGGTCCAGTTACGAACCCGCCAGGTCCTAAGACTTGCAGGCGATGCTTTTCAGAGGACACTATTACTCCCAGAAACCCCTTTGTCTGGCACGGCTGGGGAGCTTTCTTCTGCGTCACTCCCAAACTGTGCAAAGCACTCCCTCAAGAACAAGCGACCACCTTCTTAGCTCTTAGGAAGAATGCAAAGACATATTTAATCTGCTTTTTAAAAGTATATGCTGTAATGCTTTACTGTGCACATTTACCTGGTTTTTAGTAGATAAGATAGTATGTAATTGTTACTTATAATACTCACAATGACTTGAAGAACGGGCTTTATAACCTTCTCTCCTTGCATGAGGCCCTGTAAGGAAGAATGAAGAGATGGGGATGTTTATTAATTCCTTTGAGCCGCACAGAACAGGGGTTGCCTAGATAAGCTTTTCTGAAAATGAATAAGTTACCCTTATTCCTTTTGATGGCTCAGAGAACAACTAGTTTTCAGACTATACACAAAGGAGGTCATTTTGGCTTGCCCATGCTGTCAAAAGCACATATTCCTAGAAGGGAGGGCCATCTTGTCACTGCGAGACAATGCTTTCCCAGAATCTGATAGCTTTTGAGGATAATTAAAGGAGGAATCAATGACAATGCCTTCTAGTATTTCTCCTTCCAGCCTACTCCAATCTACTCTTTCCAAGGTTTATGATATCATCCCTCTGCATACACAGAGGCATAGATGAAGACAAAAAAAGTGAACAGTTGAGACCATTAACATGAAATACAAACAAGAACAGCTTGTGACAATTACATTGCAGCTGTCGTGTATGCAAAATAAGCCTCTGATGTATAAACTGCTGCAGATTGCATTGCATTTCCTTCTGAGTCTACTTTTGTGTATCTCTGCCACTATCTAAAGACTGAGAGGAGGGGAGATAGGAGGCCAAATGAAAGTAACAATGAAATGGGAAGCAAACAGAGAAAGAAGTTTTTAGTGAAGTGTGAATAATTGATAATAGGCAAGGAAAGGATGGAGCAACAGTTGCAGGGGGAATCACTCTTTAGGAATAAATTATGTCTATAGCAAACTACATAAAATACTCATTAAAGGTGAACATGCTTAAACTTTCATGAACTACAGAGAACCTCATCAAATAGAGAGAACTTATGGTAGAAAAAAAATCTTTTCAAGAGTCTTTTGTTTTCACTGCATATGCATTGTAAGCCGCCTAGGAAGGCCTGGGCAATCATAGGTGGCCTACAAATACATGCAAATAGATAAGTAAATAAATAAATACTGATTGCATTGCGGATTGCCAAAGCTCTCTAATTAGTTCCTCATCATTGCTCTGGCCTCACCTTGGGGGCACATCAGTACCTGGACAGAAAATAATTCGCCCCCGCTAGAACTACAGCAACCTCGCACCACGCAGTGCACCTGCCGCACTTTCTCGGCATAAATCTGCCTTTCGAAAACTTTAACGGGCAAAAAAGCGTCCCGCGATCCAGGGCGTGATCAGGCAGAAAGGGGGCTGCGCCTCGCAGCGTGCTGCAGCTGGGGCCCGCAAGCAGATGCAGACGAGGGGAACGCGAGCATGTGCAGAGCGCCTTCCCCCGGCTGCGCCCGCGAGCGCCGCGCCGCGCCCCCCTGGGACCTGCAGGCAGATGCAGACGAGGGGAGCGCGAGCATGTGCAGAGCGCCTTCCCCCGGCTGCGCCCGCGAGCGCCGCACCGCGCCCCCCTGGGACCTGCAGGCAGATGCAGACGAGGGGAGCGCGAGCATGTGCAGAGCGCCTTCCCCCGGCTGCGCCCGCGAGCGCCGCGCCGCTGCCTCCCTCCCGCCAGCCCGGCCCCGCGCCCCCTCGGCCGCGCCTCACCGCGATGGCCCCCTCGCTCAGCCGAGCCGCCATCCTGGACGAGGCCCGCCGCCGCCGCCGCGCGAAGTGGCCCGAGACGCAGCTGCACGCGCGGGACGCGACGCGACGCGACGCGACGAGACGCAACGCGACGACTCCTGGCGCCTCTGGCGGGCCGCCCTCGCGCGCGCGCGCGCGCCCAGCCGCCGGCACCGCCCCTTCCCCTCGTCACGTGCGGCGGCCGCGGCGGCCCCATTGGGCGAGAGCGCCGCGTGAGGGCGGAAGTGATGCCCCGGGCCGTCTGCCGGCTTCAGCGCTTCCGCCTTTCGGTTCCCGCTCGGTGTTTCGCGCCTTTTCCGCCGCTGAGGCAAACGCCGCTCCGCCTCCGCCGCTTGCGGGGCCGGAGGACGTGCGTGGCGGGCGGCCGCCTACTCATTGCGTGAACGGGCTGCTCACGGAGTGGAGGAGGCGGCGGCGGCCAGCGCCATTCAAGCCGGCGGCTCATCGCTCCTCCGCGGCCCTCAGAGGCAGCTTTTCTCCGGAAAGAAATGCACGTTCTTTCCTGGCACGGCGTGTCCAAGCGCCTTCCCCTCGCTGTTCTCCTCCCAACAGCCCTGTGAGGTGGGCCAGGTGTGGAGCCCACTTCCCCTCGAGGAGCTCAAGGGCGCATGCGCGGACCCCTTTTCACCCTCGCAACAGCCCTGCAAAGCAGGCTAAGCAAAGAGGAACATGGCCCACGGTTGCATAGCGAGCAGCACGCAGGTCGGGCTGGGATCTCAACCCGGACATGAGATGGAGGAAATGATGGGGAGAGCCTAGCAGTCTCCCAGTGCTGGGAAGGGCATCCCATGGAACTAAATGGAGGGAAATTCGGGGCAGAAAATGAAGGACTTCTTGGCCCGGTGCAGAGTGAAACTGTGGAATTTACAGTGCTACCTCGGCTCACGAACTTAATCCGTTCCAGGACTCCGGTTGTGACCCAAATTGGTCATGAGCCAAGCCAAATTTCCCCATAAGGTTCAATGTAAATAAGGTGAATCCATTTTGTAATAAAAAATTATTACAAAAATTTGAAGCATGCACGCTGAGGGGGGAGATGGGTGCGATCGTGATCACCACCCAATGTGGAGTTTGCAACCTGAGGCAAAATTTTTCAGAAATTTCTGTTCGTGCCCAATTTGGTCATGAACTGAGGCATTTGTGAGCCAAGGTACCACTGTACTAACAATGAACAGCTGTATATGCAGATTCACTAAATAGGGGAAGATAAAACTATCCATGGTTACTAGTTCTGTTAGCTGTAGGCTGTTAGCTAAAAAATGATATAGTTCTGGCTACAACACCCAGCATTTACTGTTCTAGAACACCTAGAGAGCTTCAGGTATTGAGTAGTATAGAAATGAAATTATTAATAACTCCTCCTCCTCCTTGGGACATTCTGGAGGTTCACCTGCACTGTCGCTTTATTCTTTTTGGTGTCAGGTGTCAGGTTTTATTCTCCCAATATTTTAACAGTTAATTGCTTTTATTTTTGCTTTTATTATTAATGGCTGGATACAGTGTGTTGTTTGTTGTCTGTGCTTGTTTGGCTGTTGTTTTTTGTAAGCCGTCCACAGACTTTAGTAAACAGCTGCACATAACAACTTTAAATAAATAATACACAGTTGCAAGCCTTTTTTTCCTGTGTAAGTATACATAGAATTGTGCCTTTAGCTGCTATTGCTATTTTTCATCCTAGATCTGGATTCAGCTTACAATACAGAAGATAGAGAAATGGTATTCTGTCTAAAAAGAGGGCCATTGGATGCTTGTGAGGCATGATTCCTAGAGTTCCAAAAGGTAAAATGAACTACATGGGCTGGTAAATCAAGATATGAATTAATTGTTTCTGTCTGAAGAATAACTGGGCTTTTCTCTGCAACTTAGCATGGACCTGCCTGTGGAAAAATGGAAGGTTTACGTTAGTCAGAAATGGACTTCCCTGGAGCCTTCACTGAAGGAGAAGCTGCTTTGTCCCACGTCACTCAAGGACAACTTCCTTGCGTTCTTGACTCTCCTCCAGTAAGTGATTTCTGAAGTGCAGCAGAGAAGTATAGGCATGTTGCTGAGAAGCTTGTGCGTTGCATCTTCTGCCCAACAAACTAAATGTGCTCACTCTCGTTCTCCCTCTTGCCTCTCTCGTCTCACATAGGCCTGAAGATGAAGAATATTTGCTCAGCCTGTCCAGATACTACTCTGTGAAAAAAGATCCTGCCTTGGCGCTTTCTTGCAAGGAGGCTGGGAATGAAATGTTTCGGAAAAAGGAGTACAGGACAGCAGCAGTGCTGTATTCCAGGGTACGGAAATAGGGACAAGGGTGCAATTCCATGCATGCTCAGATGGAAAGAATATGTTGGCTGAGGAATGCTGGGAACCATAGGATTTCTTTCTGCCTAAATAAGCATCATATTGTGCCATCAAATAATTTGATGAAGTATGTTTTTATCCTCCTTGCCATCTTTCCATTCTGAGGGCTTCCTGTATAGCACAAACGTGAAAATTACAAATGAAATTAAGCCATGGCAAAACAGAATCAATATCCTGGTAGAAACTAAACTATCAAACAAAAGGCAAGGCCACCCTCAGCTCCCAAATTCACATAATTTGGCAGTGCAAAACACTAAGTGGAAGAACCAGGTGAATCCCACAGGGCAGGGAGTTCCACAGTGTATGTGCTGCTGCAGAGAAGGCCCTTTCCCGATTCTTTTTGGCTCACAGGAGTGAGTTCCCATTTGAGCCTGTATAATACACCTGGAATGAGCTCTGATCTGGAAACTTGCCGTCCTGTAGTCACGATGTGTCTTCCAGCTCCTCTTTCTTTCACCCCTCCAGGCTTTGTCCCACACAGAGACTGGCAGTCCAGAAATGGCCATATGTTATGCTAACCGCTCTGCGGCCCTTTTTCACCTGGGCCAGTTTGAGGTGAGTTTGAGTAAAACGTGTTTGAGCATTGTCGCAAGGCGGGGGAAAGCCTGCCTTTAGAACTTTGTGTTCTCCTGGGCGTGGAACGGTTTGCTTCTGTTGTTGCTGGTATGGACATTGTCAATACTGCAGCACTACAGTACAATCTCTGATTTCAAAGTCTCTAGCTCTCCAAAATAGCCCTTGCAGTTTACCTTGTGTGGCACGGATTGACTGTAGAATGAAGCACTGGATTTTTGATTAGATGTTGCCTATCTCACCTTTTGAAGGGTCGGGAGCTCCTTACTTCAATCAGGGCTATGTCCATTCTTCATGAGGTTGTGGGGGAGAGGCTGAGGCAACAGTGGCTTCCCTATGGGCAGTTGGAGTGTTCATGGCTAAAACTCTAATTGAACCAGGGACGGCGCTGACTCTTGCCTTGATCAAAGCAGGTTTTGAAGATGTAATCCCTTGCATATTTAAGCAGGAGAAAAGCAGGCAGTTTTGAGCCAGATTATGAGATAGTCTGGCCCAGCCCTAAAGCGGCTTGCAGTGTTCCTAAAATTCCAGACACTACTTTGAGGTAGGCTGTAATGCCTGCAGATTAGATATTTTTGGAGTTAAAATAGATTAAACTAAATTAGATGAAATTAGCAGGAATTTTATCTGAGTAAAACTCCAGAAGTCAAATTGATTCTCACAAGTTTGCAGTCCTCCCAACAAGGGAATAGCATCACCAAAAAAGCAGTTCTGTGCTCCAGTTGGATGGCCTGAAAGGCAGCGAGAGCCTGACGTGGCATATGTGCAGCTTACTCGTGATAGCCTAGTGCAAGCACTGAATGTCCATTCCTAGCTATGAATGTCAGCATTGCATCGAGTGACGGGCTCACTGGGGTCTGGAACACTGCGGTGTTTCAGGCCTTTCCAAGAATTTAGAAGGTCTTATTCTCTTCTTTGCAGGATTCTTTGGAAGACATTAGATGGGCAGAGGAAGAGGGCTACCCAGACAGGTTATACACGAAGATTTTGCTGCGGAAGGCTGAGTGTCTCCTTTCTCTAGGAAAATTTAAGGAAGCGGCAGACGCCCTCAGCTTTGTGGAGAACAAGATGTCTGTAGACCAGAGCCTGAAAGCTACCGGCCACCAGTTGCTGCTTAGTAAGCTCAATCAGCTGAAAGTCAAAGCCGGCAAGGAGAACAGTAGCTCAGTCTGCCGGCCTGCCGTGCCTGGCCAGGCCCAGAGGCCCCTGGAGCCCTGGGAGAAAAGTGACCGGATTCCGTGTGCTTCGCCCTCAGTCTGCTTGAGCTTTTCCACCCGCAAAGGGCGCCAGTTAGTTGCCGCCAGGGAGATCCTTCCCGGCGAGATCCTCGTGAGGGAAGAGGCTTTTGTGAGCGTGCTGCATCCAGGAGAAAGCTTCCTGCTCCGAGGCAGCGCCGAGGCCGTGCTATGCTGGCAGCTTGCTAGCAAAGACCTGCACTGCCACCGCTGCCTGAAGGGAGCGCTGGCGCTTGTTCCCTGCCAGGGATGCAGCTACGCCAAGTACTGCAGCCCCGGGTGTGCCCGGCTGGCATGGGAGAGCTACCACAGGAAGGAGTGTCCCCTCGGCGGGCTGCTCCTTGCCCTGGGCGTCTTCTGCCATGCCTCCCTCAGAGCCGTTCTGGTGGCCGACTGCGCAGAGCTCAGCGCTTTAGTGGCGCAGTCACGCGAGGAGGGCACGGTGGAGCCCGGGGCCGAGGCGCACGCTCCCCGGGCTGCCACGGAGAGGGCTCCCGCCCCCATTCCCGGATGTGATGCCGACGGACGATACTGCAGCGCCTACAAAGCTGCCTTCAGCCTTCTGACGCACACCGAGAAGCACAGCCCGGAGTTCAGGTTCCTCTGCGGCCTGAGCGTCGCTGCCTTGTGCAGGAGACTCGGAGATGTTGGTCTGGAGGCTTCGATTCCCGGGAAAGACATGTCGGAGGACCAAGAAGAACCGAGCGCTGCTCTGGTGCCTCCTGCCTTGAGCGTCTTGGGGGAGGCCATGCTGAGACACATGCTGCAGCTGCAGTGCAATGCGCAGGCGGTGACCGTTCTCCGCGCGTCAGGTCAGTGGGTTTAGCTGGGGCGGGTCCTTCCCTTGCGTGGACTATGTAGTTATTATACAGAGGGGACCTACTGTTGCCTAAGGGCTTCGTTGGCAGTCTTCTCCAACTTGATGCTCTCTGGAGGCACCGGACAACAACTCCCATGGGCGTTGGCTGTGCTGGCCGGGAATACTGGGACCTCTGGAAGACTCCAGCTTGGGAAATGCAGCTCAAAGACTTCCCTGGATCTCCAACAAAATGAAAAAAATCTTCTGTTTTCATTTCAACTCAGGATCTGAAGACAAGCTGGTCGCTAGCAGTGAGCAGGTGCGCCTGGCCACAGCCATCTTCCCAGTGGTTAGTCTTCTGAACCATTCCTGTGATCCGAACACCAGCGTGACCTTCAGCTGCAGCACTGCCGAAGTCCGGGCTCTGCAGCCGATCGCCAGAGGGCAGGAGATTCTCCACTGCTATGGTGAGCAGCTTCCAAGGGGGAAGCCAGGTTGCCTGATGCTAGTACGCTCTGTCCTTGAGAGTAGGAATAAAAAAATCTAGAGACTCTCTTGACAGTTGACAACAATCTGGGTTTCAGTTACCCTGTCTGGATTGTGAGGGGGCTCAAGGGCCTAGCAAGCGAGAAGTACAGTGCTAAATAGCGATCAGCATTGCTTCACTGGGTGGCCAAGTGCAGGGAAGCTGCGGCTCCAGGAGACCACCAGCGAAAACAGACTCTGTGAGAAGGCACGAAAGAGCAAGCACAGCCGCACACAGACCGGGCACACCTGCGTCTCTTCAAGGCCGTGCTCAGGCACAGCCAGGTGCTGGATTCTGCAGGCAAAGCTGGCCGGCTGCGCAGGTCTCTGCTCAGCTATAGAACCACAGTGTTGTCTCCCCAAAGCCATTTTTCAACCCTAAAAAAAATATGATTCGTTTTTGTATTTTTTCAAGGACAACCAGTTAAAGTTGAGCTGAATGAAGGAGCAGCACGTGTTCTAATTTTTTTTTTGAGGACCAGCAGCAAAAGGGGGTCAGGGGGGAGGGCTAAGGTAACACTGGTGCTGCTAGCAAGCACCTCGCTCTGAACGGTCTCCCTCGCTCGGTCGGGGCCGCTGACCGCTGTTCCCGCGTGCTTTTCACAGGGCCTCACAGGCGCAGAATGGGGGCCGCCGAGCGACGCAGGCGGCTCCTTGCTCAGTATTTCTTCGAATGTCGCTGCCCAGCCTGCTTGGAGGAGCTGCGGCCCGGTTTCGGGAACAGAGCCTCCCCCGCCCAAGGCTGCCTCTTTCGCTGCCCTGACTGCCGGATGCCCATGCAGGTAAAGCCCCAGCAGGGTGCTGCTGCCCACACTGGACCCGGGACGGAGGGGAGCAGTGTCGGCAGCAGCAGCAGCGGCAGCGGCTCATCTTGGGCTGTGCTGCAAGGGGCCCTCAGCTGACGCACGTGCAGTCCTCTGCGCCTTGGCAGGGCTCCCACTGCTTGGCCTTCCCCAGGGGAGTCCCTCTGGCGCCTCCCCTTGCTTCCCAGAGTGCCCTCCCCACATGCCTCCGGGACCTTCACCAGCTGGGCACGAAGGCACCGTCCTTCCCCGTGCGCGCTGCAACAGGCTGCCTCTGAACGCCATGTGGAAGTTCCCCGGGGCCCTTTTACCAGGTCGCCGTGGATCTCTGTGCACTTGCTTGGACGCATCTGCATAGGCCTTTCCCTGGGACTCCTCTTGCGACCCAAAGTTTCCTTTTGGAATGTCCCTTTCTTGCGCTTTCTGGCGGCTTCGCTGGATTTCCCCGGAGCGCGTGCTTGGTTGTGGACGTTCTGCCCAGTAGTTTAGCAGCTCCCTGACCCCTGCAATAACCTTTTGCCCCCAGCTGTGCTCTTCGCAGTACCTTGCATGGGGGGCAGAAAGTGCCCATGGCACGGGGAGATGGCGTCATGTTCTGCCACTCGCTACGAGGAGCTCTTCCCCCGTGGCATCGGTTAGGCTGAGCTTTTGTCAGCTCGGGGAAGTTCTGTCGGTGGGAAGAGGCGCGCGGTCGGGTGGGCATGGCTGCGATGTGGCACCGCCACAGGCGAGTCTGTTGCATGCTGTGCCTGTGCAGAGGTGACGGTGAGGTGGCTTTTCCAGGAAGAAGGAGGCCTCCTCCGTTGCTCCAGCGGGGCCTGCGAAGCACTCGTCCCCGAGGACGACGTCCAGCACCAGCTGCGGGATCTTAAGCAGCGGACTGAGACAGCCTTGGAGCTTTTGGAGCACGGGGAGCCAGGTATGAGCGGCATCCTGTTAAAACCCGTTTAATTTGGCGTGCGGTTATTGTTTTGAAATGTGGGGTAAATGGCTTTATGATGTTTTTACTCTAATTAATTAATTACAAGCTTTTCTAACCCATCCGGCACTAGCTTGATGTGCCATAAACCACATCTGTGGCTTTTACGGAAAGGCGATATAGAAACACTGAACATAAATCAGTGTGAGCCTACCGCTCACACGGGCCTGGATGCCGTCTGTCAGGTGACATAAGTAGAAGGGGCCTTCACAAGGACGCTGCCATCCTGACCACGTGGTGGCAGCAACCACCCAGGGATGTTGTTTGTGCTATCAGAACAGGGCTCTCCCTGAAGACTTGGCTTGGTATAAGGAGCAGCTTTCCAGGAAATGCAAAACGTGGGCAGTGGAGAGCCAGGGAAGCAGCGGTGGCAGCGATAGGGTTGCACCGTGAAGCCTAGCAGGCAGCAGCACGGACTAGGCAGCTTGGGCTCTGCCTGTTGGCTTATTTGATTAAAACATTTGTCTTGCCTTCTTGACCCAAACTGGGGGACTCGGGGCTTCACCACACATCAAACCTTTAAAAAGAAAGATGCGAAGGAGCCGGTACCTCTGGCCTGGCCTTCCCACATTGTTGTGCCTTCAGCGTGGAGATGCTGATAAGGACCTTCTCTACTGGGCCTGCTGTAAGGCTTGCTGAGATGCTGAGGGTGATGTCGTGCTTGCCACATGCTTTTGCTGATCTCATGCCCCTTCCACATTCTCAGGGCAGTCAGTGGAGTTGCTGCAGAAATGCAGGCTGGATGCCAAGCGATTCCTCTCTCCGGCGCACCTGGCCATGGGTGAGATTGAGGATCGTCTGGCCCAGGCATACGTTACCATGGGTAAGGCATCCTGGTAGAAAAGGGCTGGGGTGGGCCCCACACGCCTGGTCCGGGTTTATTCTGCTACACCTCCCCTCATGTCTGTGTGACGGCTGAATTCTCTGGATTAAGTGCATAGGACCAGAGTAGGTCAGTTGGGCCCAGCGTACTGTTTCCAACAGAGGACAGCCAATTGTCTCTGCGAAGCCCAGCAACAGCCTGGTCGGAAGGCTAGTTCTGCCTCCCCCACTTGCTTGTCCCCAGATTCTAATGGTCAGAGAACCTGCCGGTTTCACGTCGCATAATCCATAAAACAAGCAGAGCATACTGTTTAAGATAATGAAAGCGCTGAGGCAGTTGCTGTGGGGGGCACACGTAAACCACTCGCCCACCAGACCGATGCACAAGTGCCACTGTCGTCGTCTTCTTCTTCCCCAGGGAAGTGGCCTGAAGCCGCAGGGCATGTGCGTCGCAGTGTGCAGGCCGTGGAAGCCCATTACGGGCCTTCCAGCATAGAAGCAGGACAGGAACTCTTCAAACTGGCACAGATCCTCTTTAATGGGTAAGAGAACCCTGCGAAGGCACAGAAGTGTGAGTTTTGGAAGGGCAGCAGGCAGGCATCCAACAGGAGCTGCTGAATTTTGTGTCACAGTCCTCCTTTTCCCCTCCTGCACGCACAGGCACCCCCACCCCCTTCCCACTGGCACCTGGAAGCTTCCATATACTGAATCAGATCATCGATCCATCTAGCCCGGCATTGTTGACACTGACTGGCAGTGGCAATCCAGATTTCTGGCGGGAGTTTTTGCCTGCCCTGCCTAGAGATGCTGCCAGGAATCAAAGCTCGGACCTCCTTCGTGCAAAGCGAGCCACAGCCCGTGTCCCTCCTGCGCCGATGTTACAAAACAGGTGCAGGGGCAACACCATTGACCTCACCTCTGGTTTGGTCCCCAGTTGTTGGGACTTTCTTCTCGGTGGTCGTCTGCCAGAACCCCAGTTTGCTCTCCTTCCTCCTTCCTGAGGCCCTTCTAAATGCCACCCCACCCCACCCCTCACGATACAATTGCAACGTCTCCTGCTGGGTCCTTGTCTCATCTTGCTTCTGGGAAATGTGGCCGAGAGGCTCTTTAAAGCCCCTCTGGGTTCAGGGTCAAACCCTCTTTGACTAGTCGCCTCCTCCCGTGACCAGGCGTGCCGTGTCGGAAGCCCTGCACACCATCCGGAAGGCCGAGGCGATCTTATCCACGCACTTGGGTTCCCGGAGCTCCCAGGTCCAAGAACTGCAAGAGATGAAGGCTTGCCTGGAAGAGCTGCTCGGAGCCTCCACTGCAGCAGCAGCCAAGATGGCGTAAGTGGAATTCACAGACCCCCACCAGCTAGGCTGCTGCTCAGCTTTGCCCTTGCCGGGAGGTGAAGTCGAAACGATGGGGCACATACCTCTCACACATTGGACAGTTTGGAGAGAAAATCATGCGTTCAGATCATTGTGGTCATCCCTTTAGGCTTGAAAAAAACATCCCTATCTCTGTTTACTGTTTGTCGGGGCACCAGGAAGCCTCCCGATAACCATCTGGCACATTCAACACTGTCTTCCTTTGCAGGAAGTTTTGTGGAGCCTTCTTATCACCACATGTTTTGAGCAAAGATGCCCGGGGTGGAAACTGATGCCTTCCGCACGCACAGCACACTCTCTCCACATTCTCCCCACCCCTCCCATGAAGCTGCTGCCATCTTTGCCAAGGTTGCGTGTGTATAAGGTGATGGAGACCTGAAACTGGTAGAGGAGCCCAGAAAGGGGGGAGGGGGAGCAGGTATTCGTGAATGGGAGAAGGGGACCCACTCTGCTTCTGGAATTCATGGGGGTCTTGAGCACTGTGCGTTGCAAAGAGGTAGGGCATTTCCGGCTCCTTTCCTTCAGTGACTTCCTCTTCCTTCTCTGAGGACAGAAGAAGTAACCTCACCGAGTAACAAAATTAGAAGCTACTTATTGGTCTGCAAAGCTGGGTAGCAGAGATGCTGGTGAGCAAACGGAGGACACACCTGTTTGCACCCCTAGGAGCCCCCCAAAAGAGGGCCTCACGCTGCGAGGGGCAGCTGTGGTCGGCAGGTGAAGTGGCCCCTCGTGCCGGCTCATCTAGGCTACAAGAACATTGGCTGGTTGCTCCACTGCTCCCCACAAGGGGACAACATTGCCAGTTAGTTGTGAGGACACTGTGTTGTGTTTCCTGCCCCGAGAGTCCCCCTGAACAGGGCAGCAAGGAAGGGGGGTGGCCTGCCTCTTCTCGGCTTCCTCTCAGTGGCTACCTCCCTTGGCACTTCCTCTGTCGGGAGCCTTGGTAAAAGATGTTCTGACCCAGTGTGAGAGTTGTTCTCGGGAGAGTCCTCTGACCCAATGCGAGAGCTGCTCATTATGGCAGAAGCACTTTTATTGCAGCACATAAGCGAAACGGGTGTTTGCTACGATGCCCCTTTGCCCCCGGCATGCGCTTCACGGCTGACTGCAGGCTACCCTGGTGGTTGGCAAGTGATCTAAGAACTCCGGGGGTCCAGAATTTTCCCCAGAAGGAGAAGTGCTCCCGTCTCATTGTCCCGAAGCACAAGCAGGAAGGGCCTGTTCAGGTTGTAGGTGATGGGGAAGTTCAGGCGCGCGGCCTCCGTGTCGGGGGTAAACGTGGAGCCTTCCCCATCCTCGCTGAGCTCCAGGGCAACCTTGTGCTGCACGTGGGTGAGCTTGATGGGCTTCGCAGTGATCTTGCTGAAGTCGGGTGTTGAGAAGAGTCCCTGGAGCCCTGTGAGGGAGAAGGAAGGTGCCTTGTTAGCGGGGGGGGGGGGGAATGGGCCGGCGGACTGAGCCAGGAGAGGCCCCAGTGGGCTCTTCCCTGGAGCAAGCTCAGATGTTATGTGGTAGTTCAGTGCAACTGTCCGGGATGGACCTAAGGAAGTGCTCCAGGAGTTGCCCAGTGCATTGAAAAGGATGCTGTGGTTGCCATCGGCACAGTTAGTTCCTCAAAGGAGTAGACTGCTAGGGTGGTCCTGGGCAGCTGGAAACAACCCTCCAAGTGCAAGAGCAGTCTAGCTCCAGTTCATGGAGAGAGGAAGCAAGGTGGCTGCACTGGCTGGCTGCAGGAGCGGACACAGGGGACCTGAACGCCTAGCCACCTGAAATGCATCCTCGGCTCGACTCATGAGCTTCCTGGCCCTGCGTCTGGCCAGCACACGCGGAGCGGTGGCCTTGTCCCGTGCCCTGGCCCCGCTGCAGAACTGGGCTGGGTACGTACGCATGTCCCGGAGTGTGTCGGCCAGCCCTGCCTCAGCCATCAGCTTGAGCCGGGGCACGCTCAGCACGGCGTGGACGTTCTTCAGCTGCTTGTCGATGTCGTGCATGAACTCGGAGGTGAGGCTTTCCTCAATCAGCGTCATATTCTGGGTCACACTTTCGGGCAGGAAGAACATGATGCTGACACTTCCTGTCAGGGGCAGCTGAGCAATCTGAATGGGAGAAACCAAAGATGAGGCACCGAAGTTCTGCGGGACTTTTCTTCCTGTGCTCCTTCAAGGCTTCGGGCCTCCCTTCTACCCACGCTCCCCCAGAAGAATCCCCTGTACTCTGAACCATTCCCTCTCGCTGCAGTGAGAATTAATTGTCCTATATCCAGCAACCCCAGAAGCACAGTGTGGGTCGAGGCAGGGGGTCCCGTCTTCTGCCACTGTATGCTAAGAATTATGCACATCACAGGGTTGTGTTGGCTTGTGGAGAGAACTGGGAAGCAAAGCAAAGGCGCGATGGCTGGTCAGTGAGCACAGCAGGTACCTGGGGCCTGGGCGGCAGGTGAAGTCTAGGTATAAAATCAGTTCAAGTGAGGACAGTTTTAAAACAAGTCTGATCAGGGTGTCGGTCGCACTTACTTATACTAATCTTAACTTTTCTTTGGAATAAGTTTTTTAGTCTTGTTCATCCCTTGCTAGTTTAGCTTGTGAACCTGTTGAGGAAAATGGGATTATCTAAAATGCTTACAGTTGGCTTCCCTGGTTACTATTCTTTGGAAGAACGGTGAGATATAAATAAAATAAATTATCTAGCCTAGTTCTCATCATTGTTGGCATTGTAAGCAGAGAGGCTCTTGATGTATTTCCGGAAGACTCAGCTACTTGAGCTTTGGACCTCTGTCATAGGGTACTGAAAAAATGTCTTTCCAGGCATATCTGCCATTTGCATTTATTGCTCATCTGGTCATAATGAGAGAAAATGCCTTGGCCTGTTTCAATTTGACGGGGAAGACACTCTGCATTATATCCCACCTCCTCCGGAAACCCCTGTGTGAAACTATTCAGGGCAACACCGTGTTCGAACTTGTGCTGAAGCTGCTATGGCCAGTCTGGGGCAGACAACCAGCCCCGGCTACTTGTCAGTGGGAACATTGCTAAATGTTTTGAAAGAACCTTGTTTCTTTCGAAGAAATTGTTGCAAAGAGGAAGGTGGTCTGGACAAGCATAATTTGAGCACTAAAGGCACAAGCATCATTGGTTCAAGTGGACCCCAGTTCAGGGGAGAGGAGGGGGAAGTGGCCCTGAAGGAGGGGAGCTGCCGGCTCCCACTCGGCCAGAGTCCCTTCGTCCCTCCGCCTTGCCTTGCCTTACCTTGCAGTTGAGCTCCGAATCAAAGCCATACTTCAGGATGGTTTGGGGGGATGACATCATGGGCACCCGCACCGTCCTCTCCTCATCCAGGTGGAAGTCCTGCAGCTTAGTCAGCTTGGGGTCGAATCTGGTCACCCACTGCCCTGTTTCGGGGAAAGGAAAGGGGAAGTGAGTGCCCCATTTCCTTCTCCAAAAGTTGCCACTGGAGTGGCAGCTCCTCCTCCTGCGAGGAAGCAGAAGACACCTGCCAGCTCTGTCACCTTCTTTGATCCTACCCAAAGGAGTCGGGGGCGTCGGCTGTCACTCCCTGGCAGCCTCCCCTGGCTTGTGTGCTCCTATGCCTGGGGCTGCAGCTCCCAGTCAGCGTGGGAATACTGGGGCTGCGGTTATACTTACTGGGAGGGAAGCCCCAAGTCGAGGACCGTGGCTCCGCGGTGTCCTACCCGTCTCGGGAGCTCCCCCACCTTCCCTTACCTTTGAAATGCGCTGCCCCAAGGAGGAAGATGCTGATTGCAGAGGGGATCTCTGCCAGGAACCTGCCAACCTTCCCGCCCGTCCTCTGGTGCACCCAGCTGTTTATCTCCTGCAGGTCTCCACGGGCATTTCCGCTGAGTACTCTGGGGCGGAATCCGTAGGATTTCTCCAGCTCAGTCACGAACCAAAGTTTCATCTTCAGTTCTGCGGGGACACCAGAAAGATCCCGTTATGCCAAGAAGTGCTTGGCGGCAAAGTTCACAGCCACGCCGGCCTCCGTTTTGGAAGCCGAAAGAGGCCACGCAGCAAGGCTGGCCTGCACCATCCAGGCCGCAGCCGTTGCCAGGCAGAGGGGAGGAGAGCCGCCGGGAGGTGCCCTCTTTGTTCTGCACGCCTGGTAGGATGTGCCAACGTGCCCAGTCTCTGCTTGGGATTTGCTGAGGATAAACATGCAGCGCGCACTGTACGCAAGTTCTTTCTGAAGGTCTTCCGTTTTGAGGCAGGGATGGTGCTGACGAGCTACCGGTAGCCTGGGCACCATCGCTCGGGGCTGATGGCCTCGGGATAGCCAGCTCAGGTGCCTTATCAAAGCAGACATTCTGAAGGTGGCAGTCCTTCCTTGTGGTGGCGGTTTTAAGTGTATATACTGTGATTTGAAGAGCGGGAGGTGGTGTTTGCTATCGCCAACCCATAGGGGCGTTCTCCTATGCTCTTGGGTGCCTGCTGCAGCCGCTCCCCGAAACCTTGTGGGGCACAAGCCCAAGGCTTACTTCTCTCCATAATGAGGCGGGAGGTGCTCTTCAGGCCTTTATTGCGTGCCGTGATGCCCGCCAGGAGCTCCTTGTATGTGCTGTGGATCTCGGCCTTGTTGAGCATGTCGTAGAAGAGCGCGCGAGATATGACGTCTTCCGTCCGTTCTCCCGCACCTGCCAACCACAAAGAAAGGACTGTGAAGCTTATCTCTCGGGCCGGCGCTCTTGGGACAGGATGGAACAGGAGCAGATGCTCACCGAGGGAAAGGCCCGAGAGAGCAGTGGCTATACTGAACGGGGACAGCAGGACATTGGCGGTGGGCATCTGGCTGGATTGCTGGCGGTACAAGTCATATCCAAAGTTGGAGACAGCAGCGGCTAGCTGGTTCACGGGAATCTTATAGAAGGGGTCTTCCTCTTCGGGTTCTGCTGTGGTGTCAGCCTCGGGGTCCTTTGGGAGACAGAATGTGCTTGCTTCTAATGGTCCTGTTTGTTTGCTTGCTTGTCTGCTTGCTTGTTTGTTGATCTACATCCCCCTTTTTTCTTACGAACTCAAAGCAGCTGACACCATTCTCCTCCTCTTGCCCTCAATCTTATCCCCACCCCAACAATGTGAGGGAGGATGGGCTGAGAGTCTGTGATTGGCTCCACGGCCAAGCAGGGGCTAGAAATCTGGTCACCTGAGTCCCTGTCCCGCACTTTCAACCATGGCACCACACTGCCTTCCATCTATTTGAGAGATGCAATGGAAGCAGAAGGGGAGTAACCTTTCCAAGACTCCTTGCCTGGAGAGGCTGCCATAAGATATCAATTATAAAAGTGAGAAGGTAACAGCTTGGGAGTCCTTACCTTGTGTTTGACGGGTTAGGTTATCCACCTGGTTCCCAGCCTCTTCTTGCTAACTAATGTTAACTCTTTTTAAGCCTAAGGTGACTCTTAGTATGCTTTAGGACTGTGTTCAGCAGTGCGGGAGGCTGCAACGCCCCAAAATAGTACGATGTATTGCATTGCATTGATTACTGTTCACTTCTCAGAGCTTCAGCCATTGGCTAGTACAGAAAGTAAATGAGTAAATCCAAAAAGACTGACCTGCGGGCGGCTCCCAGTACCTGTGTCCTGGCTTCTGCAGGAGACAGCGAGGAGTCCCAGGCACAGAAGAGCTACCAGATGCCGCATGGTAGGGCCTGCAGGGAGAAGAACAAGGTGTAACAGTGCACTTCAGCTCTTGCTCTGTATAGCTGGAGTTGTGTGTGTGGTGCAGGGTAACGAGGCAATGGGTTTCTTGTCCCAGGACTTGACGCTTCTGTGACAGGGAGGGGTTTAGAAGAAGCAAATCTCTTGTCGCAAAGAAAGGAATAGGCTCAAACGTAGGTGCTTTGCAGAGATCCGAACAACTCTAGAACAGGAATTTACCGTTTCTTCCTTGTGACTATTGTAAGCAAAAAAACAAAAGAGTGCGACTATTGTCATTTTCAAGTCCAGCACTAGACTTGACTTAAAATGCAAATCAGAAGTTCCCATCAATTTGCCAGGGGACAGCCCGCCAAAGTGTTCCAGAAACCAATTAAGTGGCACATTGCTTTCATGTGTACTGTCTAAGTTACAGAATTATTATAATTCAGCTTGCAATGAAGGTCAGTCAGTTTGGAGGGCACAAGAGGGTGGTGTCTTCTCAGCAGGGGTCTTGTCTTTGTGGAACTTTCTCTATACTTTGTTAAAATTCAGTGCACTCTCAGTTAATGATGTTAGGATGGGTTTTTTAGACCCCTCTCATTTTATATTCTGTTTTCCGTAGCTTGTCTGGGTTTAAGTTGTTGTATGATGCTCTTTTAGTTTTAATACTTGTGTGTGAGTGTTCCATTTATTTAAATTTTTGTTATGTGTCGGAATGAATACAGTAAAATGCAGTGAAGTTTCATATACATTCCTTCACTGTACTATGAGCAGTTATGGTGCAGAATTTGGTTTGTGGTGCTGTAAGCTTTGGACTTGGGTGTGTGAGGGAAGAGGTGAGTTCATGCATCCTTGCCTGAGTCATTGTACCAGCAGTACAACATTAACTTCTTGCCAGAGAGGCAGGGAAACAGCATTTTTGTCATAAATATTATGTCTTGTCATTGGTCCCTCCCTTGTTCAGGGGTTCAAAGGAAGCATATGCACAATCGGTCCATGGTGTCCAGGCTTGCTCTCTGGACCAGTCAGTTCTTGGAGTCGTGCACCTGGTGTTCCCACCTTGAGCCCTGATGGACCCACCAGGCTAAGAGAAGGCCTGCGGGAGAAACATAGCAGAGTAGCTATTTTGCAGATCGCTGGCATTAGCTCTGCGTCACTGTTTGCAGAGGACAGGCTTGGATGATGCCGCATCCAGTCCAAAGGGTAGCCCGTAACCCCAGCAGACACAAAAGCATGCCCCAAAAGCTGGCGCCAGGCGGGCTGCCTGGAAATGACAGCTTTGTCCTAGAAGCCCTACAATTAAAGGGAAGGCCTTCCCTGGAGCAGCCAAGTCAGCAAGTTGGCACAAAGAGATCATGCCAGTGGAGCCCTAAAGCGTGTGTGTCAGACGACAACAGGGCAAACCCACCAGAGCTTTGCACCCAGAAAGCCCTTCACACAGGGAAGCCACACAGCCCATTCCGGTTTGCTCCCTGCAGCCGAGATGAGCAACCGATGTTACCACTTCAAGCTCCAGGTGTCCCTCGAAACCTTAGACCTGGCTTTGTTTTCTCAAGTTCGTTCCACGTTCACTTATCTTTGCCTGCTTTCTCTTGTGTGCGTATTACTTTCTTCTTCCCAATGGTTGTAACCTGGAATATAAACTCTGTTGGGCAAGAGCTTTTTCTGTGTTTATCTTCAGGCAATGTTGCTCGTGGTTGCGAGTGGACAGAAGCGCCATCCAGCGGGCAGTGGCACGTTTTCTGGGCCAGCACTGCTGGGAGAGCCACCGAGACCCCCAGCAGAATGGCCTAGAGGAGCCCGCCCCACAGTGACCTATAGTGCCTGTCTGAGGGTCGTCCAAAAGATAGCGGAGAGAACTAACCAGGAGTTTCTGTTAAGTCCACGTTCACTGTAAAAGAGTACTGCTGTGCTGTAGCCCAGCCCTGCCCAGCCCAGGTGCCCGTGGCTGGCTGGGGATGCTGGGAGTCATATTCCAGTCCATCCAAGGTCAGCAGGCTGGGGCATGCTGCTCTAGGCACAGCCGTGGTTTCAGTGTGGGGCAGGGACCGCAGATTTTGCGGTTCTGGTTTCATGCTCACCAGAATTCCCAGGTTTTGCCAAGAAGCTCTGTTGAAACCCTGCGATACTTGAGTGCACGCACACATCTGGATCCTATTTGGTGCAGCGCTTGAAGCATCCAGCCAACAAAGCAATGAGGAGGCAGCAGCCAAAGCTGGGTGGCGCCTGGGCTATTGCTTTCCCCCATCCCAATTGTTTCTATAAATGAGAAAGCGCCTAGGACCAGAGAGCCGACAATACAGTTCTGAAGAGCAAAAATCCTCAACAAAGCATAGTGAATTGCTGGGCAAGACGTGGAAAGTGTCGCTTAGCCATGGAGCCCACCGGGTGACTTTGGCCCCATCGCAGACAGCCCAGCCTCCCTCACAGGGTTGTTGTACGGATAGCGGGGTGAGGAAGAGAATGATGTGAGCTGCCTTGATTGCCTTAACAGGAGAAAAGGCGGGATATAACTAGAATAGTTTGGATCACGCATATCTGAAAGATGGACCACGGTTCTGTTGTACAGCGGTGAAATTCTCCAAGGTGGCAGAGGTGCCTCTGTTTGCATAGCAGACCCATAGCGCCGGCTTTGATCATGCTCCACACGGGGCCCTTTTCTCCTCGTGCCAAGCGTAGAAGCTGCGTGGCCGCAACTGATGCTGCGCCTTTGAGCCGGCAGAGCCGGATCGCCTGCCCCCTTTTAGGCGCGTGTGTGTGTGTTTCTGCTATGAAGAGGGCACTTCAGTGTGAATAAGTTCGTAAGAGAAGCAAACAATACTTAGCCAAGACTCCTGCCAGGAAGGCACACTCCCACCCCCGCAGGACTCCCCGGCGGCGCTTCCCACCACAGCTTGCCCAGGAGGGCTCAGATCGGCTGCCTGCCCCAAGCAGTGCCCCCCGCGCACCAGCGCTGCTTCCGTGCCTCTCCTTGCCCCGCTGCCTCAGCTTACCAGAGCGGTGCAGCTAGGAAGGCTTTCCTCGCCTGGGTCCGCTCTCCTCCTCCGGCGCAGTTCTCTGGTGGAAGAGAGCAGGAGGAGGAGGTGGCGGGACTTATAATGGGCCACATCTGCTTGCTGCAGCCAGCCAGCAGACTCTCCCAGCCCCGCCATCCCATCTGCAGGTTTCAGGTTACAGCTTCCCCAGAGGAGGAGGGGGGGGAGATGCTCTTAAAGCAGCATCCTCCCGTTTTGCAGCCGCCGCCTCCGCAGCACTCGCTGGGCAAGCGCTGGCCCCACTGGCGCTTGACAAGGCCCGGAGTTCCCAGGATTAGAGGAGGTGGGGTGGGTGAGCTTCAGCATCGGCAAGAGGGGATCCAGGGAACAGAGGCTTCACGGTTCTGTTTGATTTCTCGCCCTTGCCGCCAAGGGTTTTGTGGAAGAAGCCTAAGCACAGTATCGGGGTCGGGCAGGACTTTGGCAAGCATCTGGACCATGCTGCTCTCCCTTTTCCCCCAGGCGGTGAAGTCCCAGGCACTCTGCCCTTTCCTGAGAGCAGAGCTGCTCTAACCTCCTCAAACGCCTTCTGCACCTTCCTGGCTTTTCGGTATCCCTTCTGTGATGCACTGCCAGAGTTCGACAGACAGTATTAGAAACACAGAAACAGAGCGAGTCGGAAGGGAGCTCCCGAGCCATCTAGTCTGACCCCCGGCTGCAGCCGGCTCCACTCATGACATGCCTATCATGTGCATGTCCAGCCTGTCCTTGAACACCCGCACCGATGAGGCCTCAACCACCTCTCATGGAAGCCCATTCCACACCCTCGGGGTCCTGACTGTCAGGAAGTGCTTCCTGGCATCCAAATGGAACCTGGGTTCCCTGAGCTTGGCTCCTGTGGAGCGCATCCTGCCTTCCTCTGCGGGGGAGAACAGGTCTTGAGCCATCTCCACGTGACAAACCCTCACGCACCTATATGTCGCCAACAGATCCCCTCGAAGTCTCCTCTTCTCCAGGCTGAAAAGACCCAGTTCCCTCAATCTCGCCTCATATGGCTTTCTCTGCAATCCGGCCACCATCCATGTGGCCCTTCGCGGCACTGATTCCAACCTGGCTATATCCCTCTTGTAATGTGGGGCCCAGAACTGAACACAGTTCTCCAGCTGCGGGCTCACCAAAGCAGTATAGAGTGGCGGTAATATCTCTCTCGATCTAGAAGCCATGCCTCTGGCTATGCGGCTGCACAGCAGATCCACCTGAAGGCATTGCGGTGCAGGTGGACTCCATGTCAGTAATGATTCCCACCAAGTCTTACTTCTCGACTGCAGCTCCGCCATCGTGCCGGATCTCAGCCTATCTCTTTATGCGTCTATGGCCACTTGGAAGGACAGGCTTCGAGCCGGCTCTGTCCCAGAGCTGCAGTACCTGCGGGGTTGGTGTAAAGACACCTACGATCACATATGCCAAGAAGAAGCAAAGTGATAAGTGGGGAGAGGGCCGGAGGGGTGTGGAGTCCCTGTCAGAGCTGTGTCAGGAGAGGCTCCTGCTCTTTGCTGTAGGGCACGGTTCAGCCTGCCCAGGGTGTTCCAGCGGCAGTGAAGAAGCCTCAGCTGATGGCCATGCAGAGGGCAGAACCCGGAAACAAGCATTTTATTTCTCTCTTCCAACTGAGGCAGAGTCTCACACCAAATCAAAGCTCAGGGTCCCCACCCATCCCTCCATCCATCCAAATGCATTTCAGTAGCCGTTTGGAGGCAGATAAATTCAGAGGACTTTACTCTGAAGCTTTTAGAACTGGTTGCAGAATTGCCACCTATTCCAAGCCTGGCTGGCTACGCAGGAGGTAAAGAGTGTGTGGGGGGGAGGGCACTTGGGGGACGGTCCCTGGAGAATCGATTGTGATGTGATGGCCTTGGGTTCCATGCACGTCTGGTCAGTGCTTTCCGGAGTCCTTCAGGCAGGGCTGTGGCAGCTCCCCATCCTTTTGCACACAGTCCTTTGTCTTTCTCTGCTGGGGAGCGCTGGGGCTGGGGTTCTGGATGATGCCAAAGAAGAGGGGCATCTCTGTGATGTCGTCATAGATCACGAAGACGTAAGGCCGGTTAAGGTCAAAATCCGAGCGTGAACGAGACATGACCACACTGGTCGCGGCTGATGCTTCGACCCCGTCCTCCCCAAGCTCCACGGCAGCCCGGTGCTGGATGCTGGAAACGAAGAGGGGGCCCTCTGCAATGGGCCGAAGATTCGGGGAAGAAAACAGCTCGCCCAGGCCTACAGAGAAAGGAATGAGAGCGTGTTCAGGAAGGGGGCTCCAGGCACCCGGAGGGGGCACATCATGGATGTAGAAGGCAGGAGCATTGCTTATGTAAGGATGTTTTCGGGACTTTGCTTACTTGGATGTGGGGAGCTCTCCACCCTACTCTGAAGCTGCAACTGCAGTTTTTAAAATCTCAGCTAAAGTGTGCGTGCTTTTGCCAAGAGGACATAAACTGCTAGCGCTTCCAAGATCCAAGTTTCCAAGAGAATCTGGACATCTGGGGTGGGGCAGCAGGGAAGGGCCAACATGGAAGGAGGAAGACCCGGGAGACCCGGGGCACACTCAGCCCAACATGCTCCGACTGGAAGATCTTTCCAACTCTCCTCTGCTGCAAACCCTTGGCACAACCCTCACCTGGTTGGAAGAACGCGAAGCGCTTTGAGCGTATCTGAAGACGGAGGCTCAGAGGGCACAGCAGCTTCTGTTCTCTCCCCAGATCTTGCTTGGGTCACAAGCAGCAGGCAGGGATGAGTCTTAGTGACATGTGAAGTGGTCGGACTCCAGGTCAGGCTGCCATCTGGCGCGCTCTGACAGGCAGTGGTTCTCCAGGCCTTCGGGCAGAGAAGGCCCCTCCCTCTCACAGGCCACGCACTCCTTTTAACCGATGCCACTGGGACCGGATCTGGGACCTTTCCCATGCAGAGCTACACCCCCTCCCGTTTTTATTCTTATTTTTATTCTTTTATCCTGGCACTTGTTAGGTTTTTAAAAATGAGCATGATATACATCTTATTCCCCCACCCTGACAATAGACAAACGATTGCAAGAGGAAAAGGTGGAGCGTATGACAGGGTTCTGCAGGCTGCCTGCCAGTACTGCACTGTTGCAAATGGAGTATGCTCAGTTGCGGAGCAGAACGAGTGTGGGCGTGGAAAATACCCTGGGAGAGAAAGGGCCTTTCTGGTGGTGGTGCTTCATCTGTGGAACAAGATAAAGCCAGGCTCATCGGAAGCCTACATTCTGCTCTCTCTGGCCCAGGATGGAGGCATGTTTAGTCTCCCACACATTTCGAGCTATTAGTGTTTTGGAATTGCAGCACGGCTGCATTTTGTTGCCGGTCTCCCTTTCATGTTATGGGCTGCAGAGTTGTTGTACTTGGCTGCTGGTGTCCAGCGGGCCCTCTGTGAGATTGCTTTGAATGTCCTGAGAAATCTTTCGGCAGAAGAAGCCAGCCCCCTTCTCACCTAATCGGCTGAGAGCTTGGTTGAGGTTCAGGTGATATTGCAAGTTCAGCTTTGGCATCATCACAGTGGTGGGTCTCTCCTTGGGGAAGTGGAATTGGCTGTTGGCCTTGTAGAATTCCAGCAGCAGTCGGGAAAAGTTTCTCTCAAAGTAGTTTGGAGCCAGGACCACGAAACTTGTGTTGCCCTTGAAAGGGAACCGGGCCACCTGCACAAACCGCAACGAGGATCAAACCAGGACAGCAGCACAGGGCACCAGGGGTGGGAGCACTGGGTTAGGGCTAGATACCTATATCAAGTCTGAGCCTTGGTCCACCTAGGCCAGGACTGCCAGCCCTGCCTGGCACCAGCCGTCCAGTGTCTCAGGCAGGAGTTTTTCCAGCCCTGCCTGGAGAGGCATGCATAGCAAGGGGCCCCCACTGAACTTAGGCCTGGCTCACTCATTTGGGGGTGGGGGGAAAGGAGCCGTCAGAGTGGAGGGGTGAGCCTTGAGGGCCTTGCGTCATCCATTTCCCATGGACACCCATAATCCTGGGCGGATAACCAAGTGGAAGTACGCCCAGGCCCAGACACTTGCCTCACAGCCAACGTGGGGTTCTTTCACAGGCCCCAGAGAAAAGCCCTGTATTCCCCCCTCCACCCCATGCTGTGAGCACTCACCGCGGTGTCCAGGGAATCCATGAGAAACCAGCTAAGGTGCATCTGTGCCTTCATGGTCTCCACAGAGACTGTAAACTCTTCATTCAGGTGGAACGTTCTAGGCGCAGTGAGGAGGGGGTCAAACTTGGTCTCCCAAAATCCTGCCCAAAAGCAAAGGAGGAACCCATCAGAAAAAGAGAGCTGTGTCTCAGCCGCAGACTCTGGGAAGTTGTTGCTTCCGCAGTCCATATTTTTAACCAGGTAGTCATGGATTGGAAGTTGCAACTGGAATAACCACCCATAAAATTTACAGCAATAGTTATGTTAAGTGGCGGCCGAGTTATAGTCATGCAGCTGATTAAATTTGCATGGAGACAAAAATATTTCTTCAAACAAAAAGCCTACTTTATTGGATTTTGGAAGATGCATGCATCTGTTATCATGGGTATAGTTTTAAAAGAGGCATCCAAAAAGAGACTGCATCCTTAGGATAGCTGTCACCTCCTGCAATTTTGATCATGACAGGCATTAAAAGGTTGTTTGCATCCTGACTGTTGTACCTTTTAGATAGGTGAGACGTTTCGTGATGTAACTGGTTCAGCAGCTCAGGTCGGCCTGGCCCAGCCCAAGGGGCTTCACATTGCTTAAACATGATCCCATTTATAGCTCCAGTCTTGGGGCCTTTTGTAGAAGCAGCTCATGGCCACCCCCAGCTCTTACAATACGCAATCCCGGTTGGGGTGTGGAACTCACCTCGAAAATGTACCGCATTCAGCAGGATCATCATGACGTTTTCCGGCAGGTCGGACAGCATGGTGGAGATTTGGCCCCCCGTGGCTTCTTTGACCCAGTTGTTGATGGTGGCCAGGTCCGCTTTGCTGTTTCCTGACAGGGTGGCCGGCTTAGCCCCATAGAACTTCTCTGAGTCCTCCAGGAATTTCTTTTTAACTGCGAAACCTGAGAAGAGCTCAGCATGAGAGGCTGCACGTGGCAGGTTGAGCCAGCTTGCGGGCAGGAATCCCCCCGGCCCGGTTCCAGGGGGAAGGCTGCCGATTGCCTGCGGCTAAGGCGCTTAAGGCATTTGTGGGGAAGACGATCCGGGCGAACCATCGGGAGGAGGAGCGAACGGAGCCACGGCCAGTGCTCTAGAATGCTGGGAGTTGTAGTCAGGATGCCTGGAGGGCCCCACGTGAGGACAGGCTGCCCTGCAGCAACCCCGGCCAGCTTTGCCCCCTCCTCCTCTTCTGTGGGCTGGTTCTCATTGATTTGCTCTGGGCTACTTACATGCTACCCCTTCCTACTATACAGAGATGCATCTCCCCTTTGGGTGGTGGCAGCAGCATATGAAATGGCCCAGCCGCCTGGGAAGAAAATCCCTTTTCCAGGGAGCGGTTGGATGTTGCCTCCTTGCCGAGGGCTACATCGCATCGTCGCATGTGCTTCTGCCGGGTTTGCAGTGCTCTCGGTATTAATCCTGCACCGGCCACAGTGCCCTCTTCACACCACGCAACACGCTCCTGCTTTCTCTTCTTGTCGAGAGAAGCTCAGTGGCACGTTGAGAGTTCGGAGAAGCAGGTCTGCTCCTCGCAGACTGTTTGGCCTGTGGCAGCCCTCAGGAGTCTCAGCCCAGATGAGAGTCTGAGGGAAGGGGCTACTCCCCCGCCCCCGACAGCTGTGAGGCTCGCTGTGCGTGGATCGCGCTTTTCTGCTCCTGCAAGCAGCGTCTAAGGTGCCCGAAGGGAGGGGGAGGTTCAAGACCCTCTTTGTTGCAGGCCAAATCCAGATCCCTCCCCCACGCTGGCCCGGCGGCTGCGTATTTCCACCCACAGTTCATTTCTGCTGAGCCCCCTCACTTTTTTCCAGGAAGATGCGGGCAGCGATCGTCAGCGCCGTCTTGCTGAGCTTCTGGGAAATGGCATGCAAAGCCTGCTGGATGCAGGGCACTGACTGCATTTGCAGGACCTCCAGGATCTGCCTCTCCGTCTCGTTGGCGGCTCCTGCGAGAGACACGGGTGCAGTGAACGCTCTTGCCAGGTGGGGTGGGAGCGTGCTCCTGCGGACTCCGCACCACCAAGCCCTTCGTAGCGGGTAGAGAGGAGAGGCTGGGAAAGGGGACGTTCCCTCCTCGTGCCTGGGCTGCCTCTTCCCAAGCTCTGCTCCCATCAGCCAGCGGGAGGAGAGGCACCGCAAGCAGCCCCACGTGCAGACAGGAAGGGGCCAGGCCCACCGCAGGGAGCGGCTCTTCCCCCACTGCACGAGGGAGGAGGAGGAGGCCCCTGGTCAGAGCGCCAAAGGGCCATCTTTGTGCCGTGGTCCTCCCAGTTACGGCATTTTCTGGGCGTCACCCCAAGACAGTTTGCGTGCTGTGCAGAGGGGCTCCTCAGGCCCCAGGCGCCCGGGGCCCCCATATGGCTGCCTGTCGCACGGCCGAACGTTGGCCATGCGGGCCTGCAGCCCTCCCGTGGCAGGAGCAGGCACTTGCAGAGCAGCCAGGGCGCTGGTTGCCAGGAGAGGCTGGGATCTGCAGGCTGCTTCCTCTGGGAGCACCCAAGAGAGCCTGCTCGGGGGGGGGGGGCAGTCCTCCGCCCCACCGCCCTCCGACAGCAAAGCCCGGGGTGGTCGTCACCATGAAATGCTGCGCCTGCCCTTTGGATTCTGTGGCTGAGGAAGAGCTGCCCGAGTTGCCGGGAGATTTGGGAGCACTGACCTAAAGACACATGAGCCAGTGTCAGGAGAATGCTGAGGGGAGAGTAGAAAACGTTGTCTTGGCTATGCTCCAGCTCCACCTCTCGCATGAGGTTAGTGGCGAACATCATCATGGCGTGGGCTATTTCAGACATGTTCCTGGGAGGGACATCCATGCTGCAGCCTTGCCCGTGGTCTTCCTCCTCGGCCCCCAAAGAGCTTTCCTGCTCCTCCAGCAGCTGCTTGGCTGGCTCCCCCTCAGCCCCATCTGAACCCTCGTCCTCTGGCTGCAGCACTTCTCTGGGGGGCCCTGTAGCAGGCAGGACGGTGGAGCCCAGAGGGCCCTCCAGGGTCTCAGGGTCTGAGCCTGGCCCAGCAGTGGTCGCTACGAGCAGAGCATGCGCCAGCTGTGGACTGACTGTCACAGGTTCATCATTGTAGGCCTGCAAAGACACGGACAGCTATTGCTGGGAGAAGAAAGCGGGGCAGGCTGGACGGTTCTGCTTCCCGGTTGTGCGCCAGATCTCTGGCTGAGAGCATCTCATGTGCCAGGCCAGGGACAAGCTGCCCATCGACGCTTGGCCTTGGGAAGAGGCTCCTGTTACATCAGGACACAGTGCCCAGGCAGGAGGTCCCTGGCTCAGTCCTAGGCGGTGGCCCCGATTAGAGAAGGATCAGGTGGAAGGTGCGGGGGAACACCCTTTCCTGCCTGAGACGTGGCTCTGGGTCCAGTCAGCCACCCTTCCTAGAACGGTCAGAAGACAAAAATGACCTCCGCTGTGTGCAGTGAAGACAGATACAAAGGATTGGTCCAGTGTCTACAATCTCCTTATCTTCCTTCACTCTGTCAGCATCCAGCTAGTTCTCTGCTTTTTCTGTGTTTCAGTCATTTTCCCATTGTTCTCTAAAATAGAGATCATCTATAGAGCTCTATTTTAGCTTGCATGTTCTTTGTCTGTGTTCCTTTTCATCCTCCTCGTTGGGAACAGACTTCCATTTTCTGAAGGAAGCCTTCTTTCCTCTAGTTATACTTTAAAACTGCCTCAGACGGCCCAGATTTCAGCTCCCTGCCCTGCAGTCTAAGCTTGGCTTTCAGGACAGACCACTTTTCCCATATCACTGGTGCTGGCCACTGTATGTAGCCTGGTAGATTCGCCACTGTCACCATTTCCACTCTTGAACATGACATTTCCGTCGACGCAGCCCCAAATCGCATTTCCCCCTTCTGCAACTTTACAAGGAAAAGCCCTGGAATTTGCCGCTTCTTACCTGCAGAATGTTCCTCTGACCAATTTCTTCAAAATTGGTGGCACCCACTACACGATCCTAGGAGAGAACCGGCCAGAGTGAGCTCGCTAGGGTAGCGCCCCCCTGTCCCAAGGCACCCATGCGCACGGAGGGCCAGGGCTCGGCGCAGGGGGAGGACAGGTGCAGGACCGGAGACTGGCAGTGAGGAGCTGGCCCTGCTCGCCGCAGAGCCCAGCCGAGCCCCAGCAGGGGGCTCCTTTGCCGCCGCAGGGGGAGGACCCTTCGAGCACCCGGGAGGCAGGGCTGGCGGGAGGCTGCCGGCCATTCCCACCTGCTCACGGACCCCGGGATGTGCCAGGGAAACGGCAGACCCTGTTCGGAGGGCCTTTCCATGCTGTGCCTGCCCCTCCCCACCCCGCGGGTCAAGAGCCTCCACAGAGCAAGCACAGCTGGGGTGGGCAGGGCAGGGCAGGGCGCCCCCCCCATGACTTACCCCCTGATGCGCAGTGTACAGGCAGGCAAGCAGCAGGACCCAGGGCTGGGCAGCCATCTTTTAATGGTCCAAAGGGTGGGGGTGCTGCTGCTGGAGGGGAGGAGAACAACAGTTGGGGACCCCTCCGCACCCCACGAGGGGCCCACACGCAACACGGCTGAGGAAGCCCATGCGAGAGCGGGGAAAGCCCTCGGTGGGGACAGCGGCCTGCTCACACTCGCAAATCAGGCTGTTGGCCCCCCGCCCACCCATGCAGCTCAGTCCCAACTGCAACTCGTGCGCCCCACACCTCCTCCGGTCTCCCGGACAAGCCCCCGCTGCATTCGTTGCCTGTGAACACGGAGGAGGAGAGCCCCTTTCCTCCCGCCCCCTCCCCATTCCAGAGGCACACCAGACGAGGGGTTGCGGCATTCAGAGCTTTCATCCTGCGGGTCGTTTACGTGGGGGGACGGTTTGTTAGGCAGCGCCTTCCGTTCCCCACCCCTTCCCAACTGCACCCTCTTCGCAGCTCATCCTGCTGCTTTTGGGGTCTCAGCTTTGAAAGGGGGGGGTGGCGGTGAGAAGGAATCGTCTCCCGGAGGACATCCAGCTCCTCTGGAGCCTTGCACCCAGCTGCTGACCAGAGTCCTCCATCCTTGGTGTGTGATCCCGCTTCCTCCACTACCCCGGAAAAGTAGGGCCACCCTTCACAGCCCCCACCCGCCCGCCCGCCCGCCGCCTCAGGCCCCCCATAGCCCAGGAGTCTCCCCAACACCACTGAAGGGGGCACCCCCTCCACCACGAGAACTGGCGCGGCAGCTCCTCCTCGCTTGGTGCCTGTGCCGTGTGCCCCTTCCGCAGGCACCGAGGCTCCCCCACCCCTTTTCACCTTGATCCTTGGCGTGGCTCTTCCTTGTGCCGCCGTTGTTGCCGCTGCTGCCACCCACTCTGTCTCCATGGAGGAGGGGACAGCAGTGCCCCCCAAGCCTCCCCAAGGACTAGCAGCAACGCCTATTTGTGTAATTCTTCCCCTCCACAGGCAAATATTGACTTTTTCTGCATGCAGTTAAACATTTGTCCAGGACCTGTCAGGGCAGGAGGAAACCCTAGCAGCCAAACAACCTCCCCCGCTCTTCTAAAATGGAGAAACGAGGAGGGGGCTGTGGGGCAAGACTTTCGCTTTGGGGCCTAGCCTAGTTGCAGGAAGAAATGAGCGACAGGGCTGAGCCTCTGAGCGGGAACATCCGCCCCAGCTGGGATCAAGCCCTCCGGTTCCGTGCCAGTAGATCCTAACCATAAGCATTTGGAAGAGGAGTGGGGAAGGCTCCTAGATCCATGTGCAAGAGGTCCCAGGAACAATCGACCCTGGCTTCTCCCCTTCAAAAGCCCGAGTCCCCAGCACAACCGGGGCCGCTGCACTAAATGGGCCCACAGTCCATCTCGGGAAAAGGCAGCCGAGACAGATGGAACCAGGACGAGCCCGTCATGACTCTCACCACCAAGGATGGGAGGCCCCTGAGCTCACCTCCCCGAGCCCCCTGCTCCATGCAGGTATCTTGTCGCTACAGCATCCCCGACAGGTGGCCGCCTGCTCTCATTCCACCGTCCTTGAAGCAGCCGGCTGCACTGCCCAGCAGCTCAGGCATTCAGCCACTCCTCCCGATGTTTCGCCAAACCTGCTTCCCCGGTCCTTCCACCCCTGCCCCAATCCTGCTCTCTGTAGGAGTGTGAAAGTGAGGGCTGTTTGCCTCCCGGTTAAGTTAAGCAAGCTGCCTGCAGAGCTGCTGCCGTCCGTCACGTCTCATCAGGGCAGGGAACCTCCAAACTAAATCGCGCTTATCGTTGTTCTTCGAATAAATTGACTTGTTTCCTTGTAAGCCACCCTGAATACCAAAGGTGGGCTAGAATATTTAAAATAAACATAAAAGAAACTTTTAAAAGAAAGGCAAGTTTCTACTGCAGCGTGGCTGTAGAAATGGAACTGCTTCACCAAGGGAATTAATAAGTAGCCAGGCAAGTCCCAATCAGTTAAAAGTCCGTTTGATGGAACTGTGTTCCTGCTTCACGGTAGAGTCTGCCCTTTTCATTAAATCCCTTTTCAGGCAGCGTTGAATAAAAAGGATCTGGGGACCAGGAAGTCCACCGTGCCCTTGTAATGCGCCACTTCCCCACTCCCGGGCACACAGGCACAGCCTCGAAAGCTTGTAGGATCCAGCACTACCGCTTGCTCCATGCACACGCACACCACACAACGCCACACAAAATCTGCCCAGACTCAGGGCAAGAGCCACACACCCGTAGTTCCCATCTGCACCCACAGAGAAAAGTCTTTCATGAGCTCCAGAGCATTTATTAGGAGATAGATATACTGTCTATTGCAATTAGCTAATCGGGAGGGAGGGCTTGCCCCTTGTCCTCAACCTCAGGGAAAGAAAGTGAAGTGCTTACAGAGGTGTAGTGCCCCCAGACTCCTTGGGCGAGCCGAAGGCAGAAATCTGCCCACAGCCTATGCAACCCCCACCCCCACCCCCCATCCGGGGTGGGACTTAAGAGCTGGCCAGAACTGAAGACTGTCTTAACCAGTAACAAAGTGGACCTGGCTGGAACTCTGGCAGAAAATGGATGTCCTGGGGAGGGACATTTTGACTGTGAGCGAGGCCCTCTCCATTTCCTGGACCGAGGACTCGGCCGCCATGGGCCGCAAGGAGAGGGTGCCATGAGTTGCGATGGTCAGGAGAGGAAGAGGCGAAGACAGACCTTCAGCGGGAGACGGAGGCAGCACCCAAGGGATTGTTCTCCACCAGCCAGGGTGTGGGGTGGGAGAGACAGGAGAGAACAGGAATGCCATGTGGTGGGGAAGAGGGAGCCCCCTCCCCAAGAGAAGTCTTTGGGAAGCACTCCACTTCCCAAAGAAAGTCAGGCACATAAGGTGTCAGTAGCGGTTCAGGACTATGACTGCCCAGCAGCCTGTGCAGAGTGGGGGAGCCAGGAAGGTGGCTTCTCCCCCTTCCCCGGCCATACCCGTTCCCCCGTTCCTCGGAAGGGGGCCAGTGGCCACCAGCTCAGCCACGGCCCTGGAAGCAAGCGCACGGAGTCTGAAGGGCACGGCTATGCCAAGAGCCGGATGGTGCTGTTGTCTGAGCCTAGCAGCAGGTGGCACTTGGTCGGAAGGACGGCCAGGCTGGTGAGGGTCCCCCGGAAGTTCTCCGAGCTCAGCTTGGTGACGCTGGGGGTCAGCGGCTCCTGCAGGGCATAGACGCTGATCTTGTTGCCCACGGTGCCGGCCACCACCTCGTGGCCGTAGAGGTCAAAGGCGTGGATCGGCTCGGAGGCCGACTTGTATGTCTGCAGCGGCTTCTGCTCCAGCTCCTTCCAAATGGCCAGCGAGTGGTCGGAGGAGGAGCTGATGAGCACGTTGCCTTCTGTGGCCTGTGGGGAGAAGAAAGCGGCAGGGGAGCCCAGTGCTTTCCCGTCCCGTCCCAAACGGTCGCCCCACCAGTGGCCCCCTCAGGAGCCAAGGCGGGGGAGCAGCGGCTAAGCAGCAGCACAACCACACGCCAGCTTTTTGCTTCATGTGAGGAGCCGGGGTGGCTCATGAAGACCTCTGACGCAGGTCAAGCTGTCAGCGAGGGGCTGGCGCACAGTCAGCCAGGTGCTTCTGGCCTGGTGGCGACGAGCCCCCGGCTCTCCTGGGCTCTGAGGCCCAACACCAACCAGCGCACCACCTTCTGGAGGGGTGCCGGAGCCCAGACGCTGCCTCCAGACCGCCTTTGTGAATGGGTGAGCCTATAAAGTGGTGGGGGAAAGGCACTTAGCGCTTGCCTCAGGCTCTTCTCCATCATCCGGGTCATGCTCCGAGCCGAAAGACAAGTTCACAGGGCATGTGCTAACTGACGTGAAGCCACAGCTAGCCCAGGGCCGCTGCATGGTGCATTCAGGCACCGTGCGTCATTATCGAATGCCGCCTTTTCGGCCGCCCTCGGCATTTCCCGGGAAAAGTGGCACGGCCCCACCGCACGCGGGCCTCTCGCTGCCTCAGCGGCACAGGAGGCAGGGACCTCGCCCAGGGCCAGGCTCTTTCCAAGCTGGCAACCCGGAGCTGTGGCAGGAGATGCTGACAGCTGGGCCCTGAGCTCTGGCCAGGGCCTTCCTGTCAGCAGCAGGACTGCTAAGCGCCCTGCGGTGGGGCTGGCGATGGACCGGAGCAGCCCGTCACCGCTTCCGGGGGCAGACCAAAAGGGCACGGGTTACTTATTAGGACGAGGCTCCGCATGCAGCCTGCCAGCGCCAGATGCGGAGAAGAGTGCTGTACACACATCCTGTCCAGCCAGTACATCGACCTTTGCCCTTCTGCCTGGCTTACAGAGCAAACCTTGCCAGGAAAGCGGGGGCTGCACGCCAAATCCCCAAACCCACCCATGCCGTACCGGCCAGTTGGTGACCGGATCACCTCCTCAGATCAGGCAAGATCCTGCTTGCAGGTTGCAAAGCTTCTCTCCACCACCATAAAACCAACCTTCTGGGCACTTGTTACACGCAAGCTGCTTGGGGGGCGTGGGGGTGACATTTTGTCCTCCCAGGTTTCCCAGCTCACCGAGTGCTATCCAGGCTGCACCAGCCACGTGTGCACACAGACCGGCCGCGGCAACATCATTCTTCCGTGTCAGGTTTTAGCTTGTAAATTAGCCGCCTCTGACCCGTGCCCTCTAGATACGTTGAATGGCAAGACTCGTCCTTCTCAGCGAGCGTGGCCTTTGGGAGTCTGAGTCCAACACATCCAGAGTCCTCCAGTCCTAGCAAAAGGGGCTGGAAACGCTTTGAAGGCCCAGCATCAACCTGATCGGTTTCAAAGGAGGCTTCAGGCGCCCCAACGCCTGTTCTTACTGAAGAACCAAGAAGGGAACTCTGGTGGCTCTGGCAGGCAGCTTTGCCTGTGCTACTCTGGGAGGATGCAGGCATCTAAATCGTTCTGCCACCATTTAAATCCGGCTAAAGATCAATTTGCTGGACAAGCCTGCGAGATGAGGTGGCACAGACATCCCGACAAGCGCCTTACCTTGATTTGTAGGATGTCTCCTTCGTGTGCGGGCCACCCCCTCAGGACCAGGCCCGTCCTGGTATCCAGCAGGACCATGAATCCAGAGGAGAAGCCGGCCACCACGCTTCGCCCACTCGGACTGACAGCCAGGCAACGGATGAGGCCGGCATTTGGCCCACTGGCCAGCCGGAATTCATGCTGCAGATGCAAAACGGGCATGGTTGGGACATCCCGGGAGGCTGAAGGGCCGGGGCCGGGCCTCTGCTCCGACTAGCTCTGTAGTGACACGGTTCTGAGCAAAGGGATCTAAATAAGACACTGCCTTATGCCGAGCCAGAACCATGGTCCGTTTAACTTGGTACTGATTGCACCGACTGGCAGCGTCAGGTAGGAGTTCTCCTGCGTAGAACCGGAGAGCAAACAGGACTTTATGCATGCCAAGCTTAAGCCCGTCCTCTAAAGAGAAAGCAGGGCTCCAGTCTTCGTGGCGCTTCATATACGGTAGTGCCCTGTATTCTTACGTTTACGGAGTCAGAGGCATGGTCCATCTGGCACTGACTGGCAGCGACGGCTCCCCGCGGTTGCAGGCAGGCATCTCGCCTCGCCCTGCCTGAAGATGTCGGGAGCTGAACCGCGACCCCCGTGTGCGCGCCCGGCGCCACAAGTGCCAAAGCGCAGCATGACACCCCCCCCACCCGTCGCAGGCGAGCCAGGTGGCAACGCTGAGGCAGGAGCCGCCCGGTACGGTACCTGCAGCCCCGGCTTGCGATGGTCGATGAAGCGCAGCACCGAGTCGGCACTGGCCATGCAGATGCTTCCGTGCGGGGCTGGCATGGTGCTCACGGCTGTGATGGGCACTTTGCAGTCCAGCGCCTCGAATGTGCGGACGGGCTGGCCTGCAAGGGGAGAGCAGAGCCGATGGGAGAGCTGTGGGCTCGCCTCGGGCTCCAGCGGAAGGCGAGGGCGAGGGAGCTGCTGGCTGTGTCTGGTGGGGTGGGACTGCAGTGTCTGGAGGATGCCGGCGCAGCCAGCGGGAAGCAGAGGCCGAGGCTGCCGTCGGCTGTTAATCACAGCAGCTCAGTGGAACCGTGCAGAGCAGGTTGCTGCTGCTGCTGCTGCATTTATATCCAGCCCTTTCCCTCTCGTTAGGAGCCCTGGGCGGCTCGTCTAGCTCCATTTTATCCTCACAACAAGAACTCTGTGAGGCAGGATGGGCAGAGTCTGCAACCGGCCCAAAGTCTCCCAGGGAGCTCCATGGCCACGTTCCTGGCCGCCCCCCCGCCACCTCGCCTAGCACATGCACTCGCAGCAGCTGCCTGGCTCTCAGAGTTGGAGGCCAGGTCGGGCCGGGTCCAGTGCTGCGCTGCCTTGCTCCGAGGTGGCCACGGAACGAACTTCCTCGGACCTCCTTTGGGAGCTGAGACAGCCGCACTCCGGACCCCATCAGAGCTCCCTGTGCAGTCACGCACGGCAAGGGAGCGTTCTCAAAAGCCTCTGCCGCAGAACGGGGGGCCCCTCGTGGCTCCTCTGTGGGAGGGGGCAGCCTTCTCCTCTCGCTCCCCCCTTCTGCAGCCTTACCTGTGAAGGGGTCCCAGAGGTGGACTGCTCCGTCCGCGCTGACCACGTGCTGGGGGCCTTCCAGAGTGCCGACGTAGAAGACAGACCTCTTGTGCTGGGTGTAGGTCAGACGTGGCTCCGTCTCGTGGGTGCCGTCGCCCCGGTTGTAGAGGGGCCAGAGGCGGACGGTCTTGTCCTTGCTTCCACTGATGAAGAAGTCCTCCCCGCTCAGGGGGGCCACGCACTTGATGGCCCCCGTGTGGCCCACAAAGCTCTGCAGCTTGATCTGGTGGAAGTGGAAGCGGGGGTCGTGCTGGCTCACCCCGATCTCGTACTGCCAGTAGGCCAGCCAGTTGCCGCAGAGCAGGTGGGCGCTCCGCCGCAGCTCCTGCCTCAGCGGGTTCTCCCCCGGGCTGCTTGCGGTGGGGCAGGAGCTGCTGGGGCCGCACGATGCCTCCTGCCGGGCTTCCGCGGGAACCTGGATGCGGTTGCCCACCAGCACGCTCCCAAAGGTGCCCGAGGGGGTGTCCTCGCCCGGGCCGACGGCAGCCGCTGTGCCTGGGGCATCCTGCTCAGACACGGCTGGGCCGGGCCCAGCTGCCCCCTGGCTGTATGAGGCCAGGCCCCGGTTGTTCATGCTGTCCAGGTGGAGGTTCGCCAGCCGCCCCACCAAGGCATGATTCGGGATGATGCTATGGATGACGTCACCTGCAGGGAAGAGAAGGGAAGGGGCGGCTGTTGGAGGAACAGGCTGTCCCCAGCCGAGGCCCGTGGCTTTCCCTGCCCAGGCAGGGTCCGGGCACCAGAAAGGCGAGACGTGCGGGGGCTTGTGAGCTTAAAGAGACAACCTGGGAGAGAAATATCATGGCAAATTCCTGAAGGCAGGTGTGATGGGAAGAGCACGGGCCAAGGGACGTGTCCCCCCACAAAATGTTCGCACTCGAGGTCACCCAGAGAAGCGGATGAGCAGGAGTCAGGAGAGGCCAAAATGAATTCTTCACCGCAGACATCATAATTTATGGGGCTCATTGCTACACGCGATGACAAGTGCCACAAGCTTAGCTGGCCTTTAAAGGGGATTAGATGAATCCAAGGAGGAGGAAAAATCTATCTATTTAAGGCACCGATATGCTGTCCTGCCATCCTGTTCTCAAGGAGGCTTACCAGAATAAAAGCCAATTAATCTCTCTCTCTCTCTCTCTCTCTCTCTCTCTCTCTCTCTGTCTCTCTGTCTCTCTCTGTCTCTCTCTGTCTCTCTGTCTGAGTGGCAGAAAAACAAGTAGCAAAGGTAAAAGTGGCTTAACCCGGAGCAAGCTGCAGGGCTTGGGAAAACCAACAGGCATCCTAAGTGTTAGTGGAGCCTCCCTGGAGGCTGACATGTTAGCTAAAGGGATTTGTGGAGCTTCCCTATTCTGGCAGAGACCAGAAACTAATTCATCAGGCAAGGTCAGGGAAGAGAAGGGACTGGAAGTGGGCAGAATGGAGGCAGCCATATCATACCTAGCAAGCAGGAGAAGGGGACGAAGGTGATGTAAGCCATCTCTGGAGTGAAAACCTTCTGCAGTTCCAGAAGAGCAGAGGGGTCTGGAGGCAGCGACTTTGTCTGGAGGGCAGGCGGCTCCGGCATTGTGCCCTGGATGAGCAGCAAAGGAGGGAGGAAGGGAAGGAGGGAGGGAGTCAGTCGCCTAGAACCCTCTGCTACGCTCGCAGTCGCAGCATGGGAGCGCTGGAAACGGTCAGGAGGCCGTCGTGGCAACCCGCAGCTGTTGCAGGACACTAAACTGCACCATCCCCTTTAGAGAGCTGTCCAGATGGTTTCTGAATGTCTAGAGTAAGGAAGGGCCACAACCCCGCCAGCTGATAGGTTCCATTATCGTATTGCTCTGACAGTGAGCAAATTCTTCCTGGTGTTCAGTTTAAATCTGTTTTTTTTAAACTTAAGTCAGTTATTCTGCGAATTGCATTCCAGAATGAACAAGAGGAGAGCTTGGCCTTCTTCCGCCTTTGAGGTACTTGCTTAGTGCTATCATCTCTCCCCTTCTTGAGGCCGAACAGGCCCAGTCCTCTCAATCTTTCTTCGCAGGGCTTTGCCTCCAGTCCCTGAATCCACCTTGTTGCCCTCCTCAGTACCTTTCCAACATTTCTGCACCTTTTGAAAACTTGGGTGCCCAGAACAGGACACAGGACTCCAGGTGAGGACTCTGCGTGAATCCACCTCCGCACAACCGTTGTGCACAGGGCATTTCTGAAGAGGCGTTTCTGGCCCAGCTCAACCTCCAAAATGCTCCTTCGGTCTGTCTCTTACAAGAACGAGGGCCTGACGCCACTTGCACGCTCGCAGCTGGCTGCTGATCTCTCCCCAGCCCGCACGGCCGCCGCCGCCGCCGCCACCATTCTCCATAACAGCCCACAGAGAGGCCCCAGGATCGCTCGGCTGCCTTTGGCCCAGCAAAGGAACAAAACGTCTTTACCCAAAGCAAGTGCCTTGGATCGGCCAGATGCCACGTGGGAGCCAGAGACCGTCCTTCTCCATCCAACCCAGTGATCCGGCATGGATCTGAGCCCCCCGCCCTTCAGGCGCCCAGTTACATGAAGCAAAGAAGCCCCCCCCCCCCCCAATCTTCGCTTCTGCCGCTCACCTGCTCCGGCGGCGACAACGAAAACGTCTCAAAGAACATCCTGAGGGTGTTGCTGAGGTGCTGCTGCGCCATCTCAGAGCCGATCCGCAAGCACACCAGTGCCATGAGGCTGATGGTCTTGAGGCACAAGACGACCCGGGCCTGGACCCCGCTGGGGAAGCTGGAGGGAGACACCAGGGTCACCCACCTGCCTGCCCCACTCGTGACCAAGCCCCAAGGCAGGCTGCCATGGGATCCCGCACCCCCCCCAAATTCACCTGATGGAGGGAGAAGTGAGGAACCCCAGAACGGGCAGCAAGACCTCCTGGCTGATCTTGGGGAGGATGTCCATCAGAGTGGTGTCGGAGAGATAGATGGCGATCTGCTGCGTGAGCGTCACTGCAGCCAGCAGGCCAGCCTCCTCGCGGCTGTTGAGCCGGCCGGCAGCCGGCCCGCTGCTGGGAGCCACCTAAAGCAATGGGGAGAGACGACACGTGTCTCGGTGTCGGCATCCTCGCGCTGCGAGAAGTGCTTATTCAAGCCCTGGTCGCATCTCCAGGTGGGGCTGAGGACGCCCCCCGCCTGAAACCCCGAGAGCTGGCCGTCCATCAGCATCAATAAGGCTGAACCAGAGGAGCATAAATGCTTCTCCATACAGAGGCGTGGGGGCCGGTGAAGAGGCTTCGTCTGCTGGGATTGTGCCCAGAGCAGGAGGGAGGCAGTCCTCCGAGAAGCCTTGGGAGGAACATTGAGTCAGCCTCTCTCTCTCTTGAGAGGAAGCGTCCACTGGAGGAAATGAAACTCCCCGTTCAGCTGACATCGCGTGACAAGCCGAAGGCCCTTCCTGCAGCCGGGAAATGCAGGCACGGGGTGGAAGCCCCCGGCCGACCGGCCTCTGCCTCCTCCCTCTGCCCTCCCACAGGAGTGCCAGCGGGTTTCCCTGGCCACTGGGGGCATGGGGCCCTCGACCAGCTGGGATTTGGACGACGGGGACAGGAGTGGGGAACCAGCTGGTCCGACACGGGGGCAGGAGGAGGACTGCCCTTGTGGCCTGGCGGGCCAGCTCCTGAGGAGGCCCTTTCCGGAGAGGTGGAGCCCTGGAGAACAGGCAGGCACACTCCGCTTTCCAAGAACGACGCGCATCATGTGCCAACAGAGGCCAAGTCCTGTGATCGTAGCTCACACCGTCTTGCTCCCTCTGCTCCGGTAGCTGTAGGAAGCCCCCATTTTGGCTCCTGGGACTTGGCCAGGCCTTTGTCTATCTCCTGGCAGCCATGAGGCCTAGAAACTTGGGGGAGTGAGTTTGAGAACTATGCTGCAGTGGGGGCACGGCAAGGGGCTGAGTAGTTGGAGGCGTGAGCTACCCTAGGAAGAGCTGAGAGAGGGCCCTCCTCCCCGCTCGCCGGGCCTCGCCGGCTCAGGGGTGCTGGGACACTGACCAGGTAGCTGACGTAGGGCAAGTACAGGTAGGTCAGGACTGGCTCCCCATACAGGTGTGCCACATGGATGAGGCAGGCCAGCACCGGTTCGGACACCACGTCGCCCAGCACCAGTCGCTTCTGGTAAATGGCCGCAGAGGTCAGAGGACTGGTCTCTTCCGCGCCGGCCACCAACTGCTGCCTGCTGGGACCTGCCAGAGAAGCAGCAAGGTTGAGCCCTGGGGCGGTGGGGGGCCTCGCTGGCTTTTCTTGCCTCCGGGCCCCTCAGGAGGCCTGGCCCACACGCCCACCCCAGTCCCCTGCCCTCTCCCACCCCGTCTCCCCAAAGAGTCGGGCATTACCAATGTAGCAGGAAGTCAGCAGCCGGAGAAGGTTCCTGGCGACGTAGCGGGAGGTGGTGGTGGGGCCCAGCTTGGCCGACAGCCACCGCACCATCTTGCAGGCCGTGTCTGGAGAGCAGAGGCACCGAGATAAGCCAGCACCCTGGCCGCACCCCAGGGAGATGCAGCCTCTCCCAGCCCCGCACTGCGGAGTCCACCCTGCTCCGTTCCCCCCGGGGCAGGCCCACCGCGGGCCAGGCCAAGTCCCTCTTCCCACCCCCTGTACAGCGTCCTGGCGGCAGGCACTGCGCCCCCCACTCCCTTCCCCAGGCGGCTTCCTGGGGCTGGAGGCTCCACGGGCCACTCCCTGGCTGGAATCCACATCCAGTGCAGAGGGAATGTCTGGATCGTATCACTAAAACTCGCCCTGGAAATGCACCATACGGGGACAAGACCGCCGTGCGGCCCATAAGAAAAGGCCCCGAATCAGTATCGTGTAATACCTTTAGCAGACCAACCCCAAGGGCCCTCAAAATATACAAGCTTGCAAGATCTCCAGATCTTTCTGTCGGCTGAGGAAGAGATCTGGAGATCTGGAAAGCTTGCATGGCTTTGTGAGTGGGCCTAATAAAGGTAAGGCACATCTGAATCTGCGCCCGGGTGAGCGAGAGCCAGATCCGCCGCCCCTTCGGAGACGTGCGGGATTGGAAGTCTTGCCGCTTTGCTCCCCAGGTAAAGGCGCCAAAGACTGCAGCCTTTAACTGGGCTCGTAAGAGCCTCTGCAAATTATGTTGAATGACTGTTTAGAATCCCAATGTCGGGGCTGGTGTGGGAAGCTGGGTGTTCTAGCCCCAGAGACAAGCCTCCCCCCATAGGTGCTGTGGGACTCACCCAGCAGGATGGTCTGCTCCCCGTCTCCCTCATGGTCAGACACGTCGGGCCCGGCCCGGCCCGCCTCGGGCTCCCCGTCTTCGTCAGCCAGGCCGTCTTCCATGCTGACAGCCACCGACAGGGTCATCTCCTCCGTGCCCAAGGTGGTGCCATCATCGTGTTCCTCCTCTCCACTCTGATTGGCCTCCTCCTCCTCCTCCTCCTCCTCCTCCTCCTCGCTGTATTTCAGCTCTTGGCTGCTGTCCAGGGACTTCAAGCTGGCCTTGTCCTTCTGGTCCTCGCCCACGGAGACCTCGCTCGCGCTGCTCTTGTCGCTCAGCTGGCCCAGGGCCTCCTCCGGCTCCTGCAGGGCCTCGGCCATGTAGAGGCTGTTCTGGAACTCCTCGCCGTCCGGCAGGTAGGCCTGGTCGTGCAAGCTGACCCCAGACAGGTAGTCCAGCAGCTCCAGGGCCGCCGAGCTCCGTTCGGCGTCGGCCTTGATCTCTTCTCCAAAGGAGCACGCCCCGGGGCTGCTCCCGCCGCTCTCGTCGTCCTCCGCCGCGCCCAGGAGCAGCAGCGCCTTGTTCTCTTCGGGGGCCGAGCCCTCCACCCCGACCAGGATCTGGAGGATGTGGGGCAGCAGGTTGGAGAGGAACGGCTGCAGCCCCAGGCGGACCATCAGCTGAGCCACGAAGCAGTCTGCGTAGAGGTAGAAGCGGCCGTGCAGGCAGCGGGGGGTCTCGTACGCCCCGATCAGGAGCTTCAGCAGGTACTTGTTGGTGTTCTTGGGGCCCAGGGCCTTGGCGATGGGCTCGAAGAGATACCAGGCCGCGTGGACAGCCGTCCTCTCCTCCGACAGCAGGGCCAGGATGAAGGGCAGCAGGATTTCCAGGCCCTCGGGGGTGATGTCGCTCAGCACGCCCTCCAGCTGCTGCCACAGCTGGAAGACCAGCTCCCGGCCTCGGCCCGCAGGGTCCTCAGCCTTGCCGGAGAGGTAGGTGAAGATGAACTTGTGCAAAGACGGGAAATACGCCGGGAAGGGCAGCACCGCACTGAACGGGCTCAGCAGCTGGGAAGGGCAGGGTGGCGGCAGCCCTTGCCAGACGGGCTCATGGTCAAAGAGCGGCAGCTGCTGGCCCACGTCCATCGCATCGCCTCTCAGGAGCTGGGAGTCGGAGACCCGCAGCTGCAGCAGCGTTTCCAGGAGGTGCTGCAGCGGAGCCGGGACCTCTTTGGGGTGAGACCGGCAGAGCCGGCGCGTGGCCTGGAAGCGCTCCTGGAGGGTCGCTCCCGGATTCAAGGTGCGCAGCTTGGCTGCAAAGATGATCTCGGCCACCAGGACGCCCAGGGCCTGCATGTCCCGCTGGAAGAGGTCCGAAGGGGCCACGGGCCTCCTGGGCTGGGGCTGCTCCGGGCTGCGCACCGAGCCCTGCAAGCCCTTCAGCAAGAACGCGTCCAGCTTCTCCAGCTCCTCCAGGGCCTGCAGCAGGTTGCAGCCCTCGGGGACCAGGATCTTTGACTCCAGGCCGTCTGCAAGGGCCACGCCGGCCGGGGCCTTGCTCCTCCGCATGAGATGCTTGCCCTCGACGGGGATCCCAGGCGGTGGCGCAGCGGGGCTGGGCAGCTCCACGCCTCGGCCCGTGGCGGGAATGGACTCCAGGGCTTCAGCCCCCTGCTCCACCTCCTCTTCCGCGCCGAACCTCCCAGCGGCCCAAGCGCTTTCGCAGGGCAGCGCCTCCAGCACCACGCCGCCAGCCCCGTCAGCCAGCTGCCCCTTGGAGCGGTCCAGGGCTCGCGTCTCCCGGACAGCCGGGATCAGGGGCTTGGCCAGGGGGGGCGCCTCCGCGGGGAGGAACGCCGTCCCCGCCAGGCGCCTGGGGTGGGGCTGGTCGAAGAGCTGCACCACCCCGTAGCTGGTGAGGTGGGTGTGGCTGTCCACCAGGTGCAGGCACACGTTCTTCTCCCTGATGGCCTCCTTGCCCGCCAGCTTGTAGCCAAAGGTGAGGTCGATCCAGTGGTGCAGGTCCTGGGACACCTCCCGGCTCTCCAGCAGGGCCCGGTGGGCCGCCACGAACTCCTCGCAGGAGCCGTGCCAGGGCGGCACCTCCAGGTCCGGCATGTCCGGGTGGGTGGACTTGAAGACGGTGGGGTCCGAGTAGAACTCGGGGATGCACTCGTCCGGGGTCCAGCCCTGCATGCGCTCCATGCTGGCGGGGTACTCGTTGGGCTCCCACTGCGACCGGACGTGGGAGCGGAGCACGGCCTTGGGGGTGCGCCGGGCCGTGTACACGTAGTAGGTGATGTCCGAGAGGACGTCCGAGATGTGGTGGGGCACGTGGGGCTGCTCCCCGCCCAGCCCGCCCCCGGCCACGAAGGCCTGCTTCGTCATCTCGTAGGTGAAGTCGAGCTGCTTGTCCCCCTTGTTGAGGCGGAACTTGGACTTGCGCAGGTCCCGGAACCGGCCGTTCCGGGTGGTGAAGTCCGTCACCCAGGGCAGCACGGGGTGATAGTTGGGGTCCCCGACCCTGCGGCCCGCCAGGCGGTTCAGGTGCATGAGATAGTCGAAGTTGCTGAGGCGGCCGTGCACCCAGTCCAGGACGAGGTCCCCGAGGCCCGCCGGGGGCCGCACGCTCCCCGGACCGCCTGCCACGGCCGCGGGGGCCGGGCCAGCCTCGCCGGGGGCCGCCGGGGCCCCTGCGCCTGCCTGCCCCTCCTCCGGAGGCGCCTGCTCGTAGTCCTGCAGGCGGAGCCGGAGCCGGGCGCAGAGCTTCTCGTCCACCGCGACGTCGTGCAGCGAGAGGGCGCCGCACGCCAGCCCCGCTCGGTGGGACGCCTGCATGGCCTGCAGGACCTGGAAGAGGATGAACAGCAGCTTGGCGTGGCTGTTGGTCAGCTTGGCGGGGCTGAAGGTGACGATGTCGTGGAGGCAGAACTGCATGTAGGGGAAGATCACGTAGAGCAGCTCGGGCGCGTCCAGCAGCGCGTCGGCCTGCAGGACGCTCGGGCAGCTCGCGCGGCCCTGGCCGGAGGAGCCTCCCTCTCTGGCCGGGGAGGCGCAGGGGGCGCCCCGCCCCACGGGGATGAGGGGGCCGCCGAAGAGCCGCTGGAGGGCGCTGCAGAGCACCTCCAGGGCGGGGGCGGTGGGCGGGGCCTGCGCGTGGCAGTAGGGGCGCCCGTGCCGGCGGTGCGCCTGCTTCCACAGGTTGCGGTAGTTCTGGGAGGCCACGCTGTGCATGAAGCCGTGCAGCGTGTCCGGGCCGTCCCGGGCCTCGCTCTGCGCGGCAGCGCTCACAGCCACCCGGTAGCGCAGCCGCGCCTTCCTCAGGCCGTGGACTTCCACCCGGGTCCAGCCGGCGGGCAGCTTCTGCACCGAGTGCTGGAGGCAGGTGCGCACTTCCAGCTCACTCATGCCCTCGGGGCGCGGGCAGAGGCCGGGCAGCGCGCCCCGCTCCTTCAGGCTCGCGAGCCACTTGGCCGGCACCAGGGCGATGATGTGTGAGGACCCCGCGGCAGGAGCCAGCTGGCTCGGGTCGATGCCCAGGTCCTTCTCCACCTGCTTCAAGAGAGGCTCCATCGTGGCCGCCGCACCCTCTCCCTGCGGAAGACACGGATTGGGAGCAAGATTAGGGCAGAGGTCCAGACGTCCCCCAGAGCCGGAGGCATCAGGATGGCTGCTCATTCTGAGGAGCCGTATTTCTCGGCACCTTCTGTGCACCAAAGTGCTAAAGGATGCAACAATCGCAGCAGAATACAGACAACCGCATTCCTGGCCGATTCAAAGGCTGGGGGACGGCAAGCCAAAAGGGGAAGTCTTTATCCAGAGCGCAAAACGTGCCGGCACTGAGGCCTGGCATCCCGCAGAGGAGATCCGGGCCGGGCCGCCACACAGCAGGCCCGCTGCCACGCAGCCGCCATGCTGCCCGTCCCCAGGGTCCCCACCGCCCCCCAGGCCCAGTGGCCACAGCCTCCGGTGTTTCGGGCAGAGAAGAGGATATCTCTGCAGGGTCCATCCACTGGTCTCGGGGCAGTTGGGGCTCTCCAGAACGTCAGGCGGGTCCCCGGAGAAGCTGCAGGGCATCCCGGGAGCGCTCCGCTTGCAACGCACTGGCCCTCCTGTGCAGCCGGGTCTCCCTGGCCTGCACCAGCACGTCTGAGTGCGGCGAGAGGCACCGGGTCGCTCTCCAGACACACGAGGTCGCTTCCAGCCCCGCGAAGGAGGGCTCTCTCCCGTGTCCCCGCGGGCTCCAGGAGTCGCGGAGGGGAAGGGGCCTCCCGCGCCTGGCCGCTCGCACGGAGGGCACCGCGCAAGAGCCGCTCAGCGCAGGGCCCGCCAAGGGCACGGCGTGAGCCTCCCCAGGCGCCGGCGTTCCGGTGACGCGCAGCGGGCGCAAAACGCCCCTACTCCTGCCGGCAGGGGGGCGGGGGGCGCCGCGCCGGAGCAGGAGCGGTCCCACCGGCCGGGCTCGCCACTCTGCACGTGCTCAAGCGCCCCAGCTTCCGGGCATCACGCGCCCCGGAGGGCAGTCTGGCACGGGGAGGCAGCAGCGGGGATGAGCCCCGGGGCAAGTCCAGGCGGGGCCGCGATGCCCCGCGGCGGGGCCTCTGCCAGCGCCCGGGGGCTCCACGCGGAAGGTCCCCCCGGCGGCGCCGCCGCCTCTTCCGCCTTGCGAGGGCCACGCGGCGGGCTCTCGCGCCCCGCCGCGCCCCAGGGCGGCATGAGGCCCCCCATCGCCACAGCCAAGTGCTCTGCACACGCTCAGAGGCACTCCCTGCCACGGGGGGCTGCGAGGAGGAGGGCGCAGCGGTGCCGGCGACGCGGCGGGCGCCCAGCCGGCCACGCGCACTCGCGCTCGCTCGCGCACACGCGCGCGCACGCGGCCCTCACCTGGGCGCGGGGGGCGCAGCTGCCGCTCACACGGGGCGGGCGGAGGCTCCTTCCGCGGCCGCTCGCGCTCGCCTCCCCCCAGCCATGTTGGGTCAGCTGACGCGCGGGTCACGTGGTGCCGCTTCCGCGGAGAGACACAACTCCACGTGGCCGCGGAGGAGGCGGGGGCCTGCTCCCCGGGCGGGCGAGGCGGGCGGACTCTGCACGGGCTCAGGGGCTTTGCTTCCTCCTCGCCGCCTGACTCGCGCAGCAGAATGAGGCGGGGCGGCCTGCGGTGCCAGAGGACTGTGCCAGGCAGAGCAGGGGGCAGGCGCGCGCGAGATCGCTTCCCCGACCCCAGCCTCTCGTTTAGCTACGGGCGAGATGCCAAAGGCAAAACCTTCGGATCCGGTAGCAGCGGCCGGGGGCTAAAGTGCGGCCCCCGAAGCGGCAAGGGGCGAGGGCGGCGCGAGCGGAGCCCGCTCGGTTCCCGGACTCCCGATGCTACAGCTTGAAGTGAGTTTAGGCACACGGGCAGCCGGGCGGCCCTTCCCGGCGGCTGTCAAGGCAGGAGGAGGCAAGCGCGCGAGCGGGTCTCTGCCCCGGTCCGCGCCAAAGGGATCCTTGCGTGGGACGGGAGCTCGGGAAGCGCGGCGGCCGGCGCGAAAGCGGCTTGGGAGCTTATTGCGATCGCGCCGCAAAGGCCCCGGTCGGACTGGGGCGGAAGTCTTCTGTTTGCCGAGCCGGTTCTGTTCGTCGTGGAAATGTGTTATGAAATCGAGGAATAAAGCAAATGGCATGTCACCCCCGGGCCCCAAAACATGCCTGCGCAAACAGAGGCGAAGCCCCGAAACCCAAATAGGCCGTGAGGTTGCGCCGCCCCCTGCCGGCTCCGGTCGGAATTGCACCATTCTCGGTTATGGCCGTGCGTGTCGCCGTCTCCGCGGTGGGAATTGTAGTCCAATACTCGGCGGGCTGCATAAGGCTTGCCTGGGGGTCCCAGTGCGTGGGTGGCGACCCTCCGAGGAGGGGAACGCGCTGCCACTAGGCGCAGGCTGCTGTGGGCCAGGCCGTAGAAGAAACATGCTGTGGGTCGCCCTCCCCCTCGGGGTGCCCTGGGGTGGTACGGCCCTGGTCTCCTTGCTTTGCGCAACTACGTGGGTGCTGTTGATGGATATGCTGCCCCTGACATCCTGCCAGGGGGTTCAGGGCACCATACGTGCCCCGCCCCATTTATTCTCACTGCAGTCCTATAGAGCGAAGGCAGATGGGGGGAGATTGGCCATAAGCAGCTGGCGAGCTCAGTGGCTGAGAGCGATCTGACTCTGGGCCTCCCCGACCCAGTCCCTCGGCCCCGTGCGAAGGGGCCAGCTGAACCCCCCAGGTCAGGGGCACCCTCGGGAGGCCTGGCATTGCCCTCACTCGTGCCCGCTGCTACCCTTCATTGGTCCCGTTTGGGGTTCCCGACGTGGGAACCATGGCCAATTGTGGGGCATGCTGGGAAGTCCAGCAGGCCAGCCCAAGTAGCACCTTCCCAGGCCGACTGCTCTGGGGTCACGTGTGCGCCACTGTGGCCAATGGGATGCACGCCATGGCTCAACAGCCCCCGTTTTCCACACGCCCCCCCCCCCAGGTCCAGCTGTGCGTTATCGGGGTCGCTCCGACGGGCTGGCCAGGGAGAAAGTTGCTCCGGGCCGGGTGTGACAGACAGGGAAGCCCACCTGTGGGCATCTGTTTTGAGACACTTCATTTCCCTGTCATGATTTGTGTTGCTCTTCCACTCCTGGTGCATTCTGTAGCTTCGTGGGATGTTGCGACTGTGTTGTGGTGTTGCTGTGAACCACTTTGGGTATTCGGCTCCAAACATGCGTCACAGGGTGGTGCTGCAGCGCCTGAGTGTGGCCAGCAGGTGGCACTCTGGGTGCGTCGCGGCTGGAAGAGAGCCATGCTTTGCTTTAAAACTTCTGCTCTGTCTTGCCACCGGCAGCCTGTAGCTGTTGAGCCCAGAGCCCATGAGATGGTCCCCTTTATTCCAGAACGTCTGCGCAGGGTCAGCAGTGCGTGGCACCGCAGAAGGCCCCCGCCCCAAGGACCTTCCCAAACTAGATGGCGTGGGGAGGAAAAGACGGCAGCGGTCTGGGGCAAGGGATGGGGGTGACCCGGGATGGATACAGCGCCTGCCCGTGGGGCGGGAGCAGCAAGGTGCCCCGGTGGTGGGCAGCCAGGCGGGCCTGCCGGAGAGAAGCCCTCTCTGCAGCCCCGCTCCGTTGGCGGGGGGGGGTGGGGGGCACCCCGCCTTTGCCCCCGGAGCAAGTGTTAGTTACGTAAGGCCCGGCCCAGTGCCTGGGGCACAGCCTATAGATAGCCCGGCTCCGGCTATTTCTGGTCCCCAGAGCTGGCAGACTGCTGAGGTCAGAGCAACGTCAGAGCTGCCACGGCTGCCGGCTGGAATCTGAAAAGCCTGGCTGACGAGGCAGCGGCTCCTAAAGTGGCCGGGCAGTGCCCTTCCGGGGGAAGTCCCGGATGCCACGGCAGCAGCAGGGCAGCCTGGAGGGCCTTTGGCCAGCACCCAGGACCCCCAGAGCCCACGCTGTCGCCTGGCTAGCCCCAAAGGGGCCGTGGGAGTGGCTCTTCGGGGAGGGGAGGGCCCCCTTTCCTTTGGACGCCAGGCTCAGCCCGGAGAGAGGGAGTCGGGCTCCCCACGCAGATGGCAGGACCCCTCCGGAGAGGCCGCCCATCAGATGGAGGCCTGCTTGGCCCCGCCTGCCTGGCCCCGGGCCCAGGCTCTTGGCAGAAGCCCCGGCTGGCAGCCAGCCCTCCTTCCGCTCGGGCTGGAGCTGCTGCACTCTGCCCAGCCTCCTGCTCTGCCCGCCGGCCCGTGGGTTTCTCCAGCCTCTGCAGCACCCCCTCGGGGATCCCGGTGCCCGTGCACGGGTGTCTCAGGGCGGATTTCAGCCCTCTCAAACTAGCCGAAGCCGCCTGCTCGGCAGCTCCGGGCCGGTGGCAAGACAGCACTGCCTGGAAATCAGGCCATCCCTCCGTGTGTGACTCACCCAGGAATGTCTGGAAAAGGAGGCGGAATCCGAGGCGCGCCGTCGGTAGGCAGGGGGCTCACATGTGCGAGCTGCAGCCAGTCCCTCTCACACCGACCACGGTGGCCCTCCTGCAACACGGGCAGCGGCGCCCACGTACATGCCCGGCCCGGCCCGGCAGGGGGACACCTGCCCTGGGAGCCACGGGCCCGTACGCTTTCCTCTGCTCTTCCCGAGGCAGGGGGTCCGAGCCCGGTGAAGGATGCAAGAAGCTTCCTTCCAGGGAAAGACCCCCCAGCCCCGCTGCTGTCCCACGGGGGCTGCCTCCTGCCGGCCTGGCCGCCTGGCCAGCCAGGGGGACTCTGGTTCTGGCCCAGCAGATCCCCTCCTGCTGCGCCCCCCCCCCCCGCCGGCGCACAGAGGCCGAGAACCTTCACGCGGTTTGGCGGGCCCACACGCTGCCGGAAGGGTGGCGGCACATCGCTGACATTCCAGATGCATTGGCTCACAGGCAGCCCTGGCCCTGCCGCTGCTTCTGGGCGCCTGCCTCAGCCGGAGCAGCCCGGGGGGCACCATCCAGGCCTCCCGCAAGAACCCAAGAAGCCCCCCGAGACTGGGCTGCCGCCGAGCCTGCGTGCCTGCTGGGTCCACAGGCCACGGCCGCCCGCCTGCCCGCCCCGAGGAAGCTGGACTCTGGCCGCTCCTCGGCGGCCCCGATGAATCAGGCCTCCGTCACATGCCTGGCCACTTCCTCAGCCTGCCCTTTTCCAAGCGCCCCTCCAGTGCCCAAATGTCACTGCTGGTCTCAGCCCAACGAGCCCCCCTCTCCCAGGAGTCCGGTTACAAGGCATCCTCCTGGGGCACACGGCCTGGCCTTCGGCACAGGGGCGGGGGGGGCGGGGCAGGAATGCTGTATCACATTCCGGCAAAACAAACTTCCAGCAGCAGGGAAGGCGATCCACACGCCCCGACAGTGCCGGCTTTGCTCTGGGCGAGCGAGCCAGGGCACAAGGGGCTGCTCTGTTGCCCCCTCCTCTGCCCAGCGTTGCAATTTGCCAGCCTGGCATTCACCTTCTGTTTTTTTGTCTGTCTTTTTTAACTACGTCCCCTGTTGCGTTTCTGCTGAGCTTTTATGGCTGGTTCCTGGCAGTCTTTCTGAATGTCACCCGGCACCCGGTGCGGGCTGCACTTCATTAAACTGTAGCCCTCGAGGCAGGGAGGGGCTGCTCCTCGCTTCAAACGCACCTGCGGCCAGCACCTGGCACGCGCTGGATCCTGCGCTCGGGAAGCCTTTCCAAGGAGCCTCATTGCCACAGCCATGCCACCAGCCCCCCACCCCGTCGACGAGTGGCCTTCCTGGGGGGCCAGGAGGGCTGCAGGGGGTGGCTTGTGTTCACCGGGGTGGTGAACGGTGCTCCTGCCTGGATTGGGCAGCATGAGCGGATGGCCGGGAGGGCCATGCAGAGGGGCTGGCATCCCACGTGACTGGCACTGCCCGCACCCAGACATGCTCCCACCCGCTCCAGCTGAGAAGCGCTGTGGGGGCAGGCCCCTGATGTGCCCGGGGGCCGGGTGAGGTGTGTTCTGGAGCAGGCTGCCTCGAGCATCAGGGCCAGTGGCAGTTGGTGCAGAAATGCCCCTCATGCCCCAAATCGGGGCGGCATGCAGATGTGTCGGGCTGCAGCTGGGCAAGACGCGTCCCAACGGAGCAAAGCTCAGGGAACCACGGTTCAGTCTGGGCACCAGGAAGGGCTTCGCAGGGGCATGGGCTGGGCTTCCATGGAAGGTGCGTGAAGCCCCATCGGTGCGGGTGTTCGAGGACGGGCCGGACATGCACCTGGTAGGCATGTCGTGCGTGCAGCCGGGGTCAGACCAGATGGCCCGGGAGGCCCCTCGGGCTCACTCTGTTTCCGTGCTTCTGCGTAACTGCCAGGATGCCCCAGCGCGTGCTGGGTGGGCGTGTTGGGCCCCCGCGCCCGGAGTGCACCTCGTTGGAGACGCTGCCCGGAACGTCTCGGCGATGCTGAGCGGGGCAGCTGGGTCACTTGCGCCTGGCCAGGGCCCGCGATCCCCGGGCGCGTCTTGCCTCCCCGCGCCTCCCTTCAGCGGCCGCCCGT